TTTTCCAGCAAAAACCCCGATTTCCAGTAAAAAAATCCCATTTTCCAGAAAAAAACCCCCGATTTTTCCAGCCCAAATTCCCGATTTTCCAGCCCAAGTCCGCCGAGCACAAATCCCCGATTTTCCAGCCCAAAAACCCCGATTCTCCAGCAAAACCTCCCAATTTTCAGCCAAAATTCCCGATTTTCCAGCAAAAACCCCTGATTTTCCAGCCCAAATTCCCGAATATTTCCAACCCAAATTCCGGATTTTCCAGCCCAAATCCCGATTTTCCAGCAAAACCTCCCGATTTTCCAGCCAAAATTCCCGAATTTCCAGCCCAAATTCCCAATTTTCCGGCAAAAATCCCCGATTTTCCAGCCCAAAGTCCCCCGATTTTCCAGCAAAACCTCCCCATTTTCCAGCCCAAATTCCCGAATATTTCCAACCCAAATTCCCGATTTTCCAGCCCAAATTCCCCATTTTCCAGCCAATAATCCCGGTTTTCCAGCCCAAATTCGCGCGGGTGTTTTTCGCCCAAATCGTGGATTTTCCCCAGCCCCAACTCCAGGTTTTCTCACCCCAAAAATCCCCAGGATTTCCCACCCAAAAGCCCCCAAATCCCGAATATTCCAACCCAAAAATCACCGAGATTCTGATTATTTCCCACCCCAAATCCCGATTTTTTCCCACCCCCAAAACCCCCAAAATCCCGAATATTTACAAACCCAAAAACCTCCAAAATCCCGGGTTTTTTCCCAAAAATCCCAATTTTTTCCCCCCATAATTCTGATTATTTCCTCCCAAAATTCCGATTTTTTTCCCAAAATCATGATTTTTTTCCCACCACAAACCCTGATTTTTTCCCACCCGAAAGCCCTCCAAAATCCTGATTTTTTCCCCAAAAATCCCGATTTTTTTTCCCCAAACCCCCCATTTTCCCCCCAAAATCCCCATTTTTTTCCCCCAAAAATCCCCATTTTTTTCCCACCACTAACCCCGATTTTTTCCACCCAAAAAAGCCCCAAAAATTCCGACTTTTTTCCCAAAAATCCCAATTTTTTCCCACAACAAACCCCAAGGATTTCCCATCCAAAAATCCCAAAAATTCTAAATATTTCCCCCTAAAATTCCAATTTTTTCCCCCAAAAAAATCACTTCTTTTTTCCCCAAAAACCCCAATTTTTTTTCCCTCAAACCCTGAATATTTCCCCCAGAAAAAGCCCCAAAATCTCAATTTTTCGGACCATTTTCCATGAGCTCTTCCTCCACTCCCACTCCTGCTGCTCGTCCCACCAGCCCCAGTGCCCCAGGTACTGACCCCAAAATCCCAATTTTTTCCCCAAAAAACCCATTTTTTTTTCCAAAATCCCAATTTTTTTCCCCATTTTTTCCCAAAATCCCGATTTTTCACACCATTTTCCGTGAGCTCTTCCTCCACTCCCACTATGCTCATCCCACCAGCCCCAGGTACTCACCCCCAAACCCCCCAAAATCTCAATTTTTTCCCCAAAAAAAACCCATTTTTTTCCCAAAAATCCCAATTTTTTCCCCATTTTTTCCCCAAAATCCTCAATTTTTCGGACCATTTTTCTGGAGCTCTTCCTCCACTCCCATTCCTGCTCATCCCACCAGCCCCGGTGCCCCAGGTACTCACCCCAAACCCCCCAAAAAAATCCCATTTTTTTCCCCAAAATCCCAATTTTTTTCCCCAAAACCCATTTTTTTCCCAAAATCTCAATTTTTCACACCATTTTCTGTGAGCTCTTCCTCCATTCTCGCTCCTGCTGCTCATCCCACCAGCCCCGGGTACCCCAGGTACTGACCCCAAAACCCCAAAAAATCCCAATTTTTTTCCCCAAAAAAAACCATTTTTTCCCCAAAATCCCAATTTTTTTCCCAAAATCCCGATTTTTCACACCATTTTTCTGGAGCTCTTCCTCCACTCCCGCTCCTGGTCGTCCCACCAGCCCCAGTGCCCCAGGTACTGACCCCAAATCCCAAATTTTTACCCAAAAATCCCTTTTTTTTCCCCAAAAATTCCCATTTTTTTTCCCAAAATCTCAATTTTTTCACACCATTTTCCGTGAGCTCTTCCTTCACTCCCACTCCTGCTCATCCCACCAGCCCGGTGCCCCAGGTACTTCACCCCAAACCCCCCAAAAAATCCCATTTTTTTTCCCCAAAAAACCCCATTTTTTTTCCCCAAAACCCATTTTTTCCCAAAATCCCGATTTTTCACACCATTTTGCGTGAGCTCTTCCTCCAGTCTCGCTCCTGCTGCTCGTCCCAACCAGCCCCGGTGGCCCAGGTAGTGGCGCAGGCGGGAGATGGGGGTGGTCCTGCTTGTCCCAGTAATTCACCTCGTCCACCGAGCGGTACGCGGAGCTGTCGTCGCTCGTGCTGTGGTGGCCGATTCTGGGGGAAAAAACGGCGATTTTGGGAAAAAAATCCGTGAGAAAAACCGTGGGGAAATGGGGAAAAAACTCTGAGATTGGGGGAAAAAATAAATGGGAAATACAGGGGGAAATCTCAGTGTACACGGAGTTGTTGCTTGTGCTGTGGTGGCCGATTCTGGGGGAAAAAACGGCGATTTTGGGAAAAAAAATCCGGGAAAAATCCGTGGGGAAATGGGGGAAAAGATCCGGGAAAAATTCCATGGGAAACGGGGGGAAAAATGGGAAAAATCCATCAGGAATGGGGAAAATCCGAGCTGTACATGGAGTTGTTGTCGCTCGTGCTGTGGTGGCCGATTCTGGGGGAAAAAACCGCGATTTTGGGAAAAAAATCTGGGAAAAATCCATGGGGAAATGGGGAAAAAATTGTGAGATTTGGGGGAAAAAAAGGGGAAAAATTAATGGGAAATAGAAAGGGGAAATCCAAGCTGTACGGGAGTTGTTGTCGCTCATGCTGTGGTGCCCAATTCTGGGGGAAAAACAGCGATTTTGGGAAAAAAATCCGGGCAAAAATCCGTGGGGAAATGGGGGAAAATCTCTGAGATTTGTGGGAAAAAATTAATGGGAAATATAGGGGGAAATCTCAGTGCTATGGGGAGCTGTTGTCGCTTGTGCTGTGGTGCCCGATTCTGGGGGGAAAAACCGTGATTTTAGGAAAAAAATGAATTTTTGGGGAAAAAAAATCAGATTTTTTTGAAAAAAAGTGAATTCTTTTGGAAAAAAAAGTGGATTTTTTTTTGAGAAAAAATCAGATTTTTTGGGGAGAAAAAGCAGAATTTTGGGGGGAAAAAAAGCTGATTTTTTGGGGGGAAATTTTGATTTTTTTTTTTTGGAAGGGGAATAACAAATTTTTCCGGGAAAAAAAGTGGAATATTTTGGGAAAAAAAAAAGGGATTTTTTTGAGGAAAAAAATCAGGGGTTTTTTTGATAAAATTCGGATTTCTTTTGGATAAAAAATCGGATTTCTTTTGGATTAAAAAATCGGATTTATTTTGGATAAAAAATCGAATTTTTTGGATAAAAAAAGCTGATTTTTGGGGGAAAAAAATCTGATTTTTTTGGGGAAAAAAATCGGATTTCTTTTGGATAAAACATCGGATTTCTTTTGGATAAAAAATCGGATTTCTTTTGGATAAAAAATCGGATTTTTTTGGATAAAAAATCGAATTTTTTGATAAAAAAGCTGAGTTTTTGGGGGGAAAAAAATCGGATTTTTTGGGGGAAAAAAATCGAATTTTTTTGATAAAAAAAGCTGATTTTTTGGGGAAAAAAATCGTATTTTTTCGGGGAAAAAAAAGCTGTGTTTTTTTGGTTTTTTTTTTGCAAAGAAGGGCTGTTTTTGGGGTAAATCTCTGTTTCCCCACCTGTAGGTCATGGCCTCGATGAGGAAGGGCTGGTTCTCGGCCACCGCGCGCCGCGGGCCTCGCGCGTGGCGTTGTAGACGGCGAAAACGTCGTTGCCGTCGACGCGGATGGAGAGCAGCCCATAGCCGGGACCCCGAGCGGCTGGCAGGGGAAAACGGGTCAGGGTTTGGGGGAAGAAACTCCAGATTTGGGGGGGGTTTGTGTCCGCAGTGAGAGAGGGGGGAAAACGCTGGGGTTTGGGGGGGAAAAACAAAAAAAAAACCCGGGGATTTGGGGTTTCCCTCCTTGCTGAGGGCCCCGGGAGCTGGAAGCCCGAAATCCCAAAATTGGTGCCCCAAAATCCCAAAATTGGTGTCACAAATTCCAAAACTGGTGTCCCAAAATCCCAGGGATTGCTTTCCCAAAATCCCCAAACTTGGTGTCCCAAAATCCCAAAATCTGTGTCCCGAAATCCTGGGGAGCTGGAACCCCAAAATCCCGGGGATTTGTATCCCAAATCCCAAAATCTGTGTCACAAAATCCTGGGGAGCTGGAACCCCAAAATCCTGGAGATTTGTGTCCCAAAATCCCCAAATTGGTGTCCCAAAATTCGGGGCATTTGTGTCTCAAAATCCCAAAATTGGTGTCACAAAATCCTGGGGAGCTGGAACCCCAAAATCGTGGAGATTCGTGTCCCAAAATCCCCCAAATTGTTGTCCCAAAATCCCCAAACTGGTGTCCCAAAATCCCAGGGATTTGTGTCCCAAAATCCCCAAATTGTTGTCCCAAAATCCCAGGGATTTGTGTCCCAAAATCCCAAAACTGTTGCAACAAAATCCTGGGGATTGGTGTCCTGAATTCCCAGGAATCTCCTGCCCAAAATTCTCAGATATTTCCCCCCAAAATCCCAGGGGTTTTTTTTTCCCAAATTCCCAGGAATCTCCTGTCCCAAAAACCCCTCAATACACCCCCAAAACCCCTCAAGAACACCCCAAATCTCCCCAGAATGCCCCAAATTTCGGGATTTTTGGGTTTCCTACCAATCCCATCACCGCGGGTACTGCTCGGAGGTGGGGTGTGGAGATGGCGCAGCCGTTGTTGCGGCAGAAGAAGACGATGGGACCAACCAAAAACCCCTCAAAACACCCCAAAACCACAAAAACACCCCAAAACACCCCAAATTTCGGGGTTTTTGGGTTTCCCACTGATTCCATCGCCACGGTACTGCTCGGAGGTGGGCGTGGAGATGGCGCAGCCCGTTTGTTGCGGCAGAAGAAGACGATGGGGCCAACCAAAACCCCTCAAAACGCCCCAAAACGCCCCAAAATGCCCCAAAACACCCAAAACCACCCCAAATCTCCCCAGAATGCCCCGAATTTCGGGATTTTTGGGTTTCTCACCAATCCCATCGCCACGGTGCTGCTCGGAGGTGGGCGTGGAGATGGCGCAGCCGTTGTTGCGGCAGAAGAAGATGATGGGGCCAACCAAAACCCCCCAAAACACCCCAAAACGCCCCGAAATACCTCAAAACCACAAAATCGCCCCAAAACACCCCAAATTTCGGGATTTTTGGGTTTCCCACCGATCCCATCGCCGCGGTACTGCTCGGAGGTGGGCGTGGAGATGGCGCAGCCGTTGTTGCGGCAGAAGAAGACGATGGGGCCAACCAAAACCCCCCAAAACACCCCCAAAACCACAAAAACACCCCAAAACACCCCCAATAACCGCCCAAATTTCGGGATTTTTTGGGTTTCCCACCGATCCCATCGCCGCGGTACTGCTCGGAGGTGGGCGTGGAGATGGCGTAGCCGTATGTTGCGGCAGAAGAAGACGATGGGGCCAACCAAAACCCCTCAAAACGTCCCAAAACGCCCCAAAAATGCCCCAAAACACCCAAAACCACCCCAAATCTCCCCAGAATGCCCCGAATTTCGGGATTTTTGGGTTTCCTACCAATCCCATCACCGCGGTACTGCTCGGAGGTGGGCGTGGAGATGGCGCAGCCGTTGTTGCGGCAGAAGAAGACGATGGGGCCAACCAAAACCCCCCCAAAACGCCCCGAAATACCCCAAAACCACAAAATCACCCCAAAACACCCCAAATTTCGGGATTTTTGGGTTTCCCACCAATTCCATCACCGCGGTACTCTGCTCGGAGGTGGGTGTGGAGATGGCGCAGCCGTTGTTGCGGCAGAAGAAGACGATGGGGTCAACCAAAACCCCTCAAAAACGCCCCAAAACCACAAAAATACCCCAAAACACCCCAAAACCGCCCAAATTTCGGGATTTTTGGGTTTCTCACCGATCCCATCACCGCAGTACTGCTCGGAGGTGGGCGTGGAGATGGCGTAGCCGTTGTTGCGGCAGAAGAAGACGATGGGGTCAACCAAAACCCCTCAAAACGCCCCAAAACGCCCCGAAATACCCCAAAACAACCAAAAACACCCCAAATCTCCCAGAATGCCCCAAATTTCGGGATTTTTGGGTTTCCTACCAATCCCATCGCCGCGGGTACTGCTCGGAGGTGGGCGTGGAGATGGCGTAGCCGTTGTTGCGGCAGAAGAAGACGATGGGGCACTCGAGAGGGTGGCGGCGAAGTTGAAGCCGGCGTGGGCGTCGCCCTCGCTGGCCGCGCCCTCCCCGAAGTAGCAAACCACGGCCCGGCTGGCGTCGGCGCGCTTGATGGCGTAGGCCGCGCCCACGGCTGGGGGAAAAAACGCGGGATTTTGGGAAAAACAATGATGAGAAGGGTTTGGGGTGGGAGGATTTGGGGGAAAAAATGGGGATTTCGGGGGAAAAATGAGAAGATTTTAGGGTGGGTTGGATGGGAGGATCTGGAGGATAAGAGGGGGGTTTCTGGAAAAAAATGAGAAAATTTTGGGTTGGGAGGGATGGGAGGATTTGGGGAAAAAAGGGGGATTTGGGGGAAAAAATGAGAAAATTTTAGGGTGGGTTGGATGGAGGATTTGGGGGAAATGGGATTTGGGGGAAAAATGAGAAAATTTTAGGGTGGGAGGAATGGGAGGATTTGGAGGAAATGGGGGGATTTGGGGGAAAAAAGAGAAAATTTTAGGGTGGGTTGGATGGGAGGATTTGGGGGAAAAATGAGAAGATGTTAGGGTGGGAGGAATGGGAGGATTTGGGGAAAAAAGGGGGATTTGGGGGGAAAAAAGAGAAAATTTTAGGTTGGGTTGGATGGGAGGAATTGGGGGAAAAATGAGAAGATTTTAGGTTGGGAGGGATGGGAGGATCTGGAGGAAAAATGAGAAAATTTTAGGTTGGGGAAAAAAGGCCAGGAATTGGGGGAAAAAAGGAGAAATTTGGTGAAAAAAAGGGTGGGGAAACGGGGGAAATTTTGAGGGGAAAATGGGGGAAAAAAAGGAGAGGAATTTTGGAGGAAAAAAGGTGAAGTTTGGAGGAAAATGGGGGGGGGCGGAAAAAGGGGGAGGAATTTGAGTAAAAAAGCGAAAATTCTGGGAGGGAAAAAAGGGTGGGGAAAGAGCGGAAGATTTGGGTTAAAAAGGGCGAGTTTGAGGTCAGGCGCGTCACCTTGCGGGATCTGCGTGGCCAGCGGGGAGGAGATGGTGACAAAATGGCGCTCGGGGCAGCCGTAGTGCACGGGCATCTGGCGGCCCTTGCCGGGGTCCCGCGCGTTGCCGTAGGCACTGGGCCATGAACAGCTCCAGGGGGTACCCCGCGGTACAGCAGCACACCTGGGGGCACAGGTACAGCCTCACCTGAGACACACCTGTGACACACCTGGGTTACACCTGTGTCACACCTGGGTTACACCTGGGTAACGCCTGTGTCACCTGGGTTACACCTGTGCAATGCCCTGTGTCACCTGTTCTAACCCTGACCAGCTCCAGGGGGTACCCGCGGTACAGCAGCACACCTGGGGCACAGGTACAGCCTCACCTGAGACACCTGAGACACACCTGAGTCACACCTGTCACACCTGGGTAACGTCTGTGTCACACCTGGGTAATGCCTGTGTCACCTGTTCTAACCCTGAACAGCTCCGGGGGGTACCCGCGGTACAGCAGCACACCTGGGGCACAGGTACAGCCTCACCTGAATCACCTGGGTTACACCTGTGTCACACCTGGGTAACGCCTGTGTCACACCTGTGCCACCTGTTCTAACCCTGACCAGCTCCAGGGGTACCCCCGGTACAGCAGCACACCTGGGGCACAGGTACAGCCTCACCTGAGACACACCTGGGTAACGCCTGTGTCACACCTGTCACACCTGGGTAACGCCTGTGTCACCTGTTCTAACCCTGAACAGCTCCAGGGGGTACCCGTGGTACAGCAGCACACCTGGGGGCGCAGGTACAGCCACACCTGAGACACCTGAGACTCACCTGTGTCACCTGTGCTAAAGCTGGGTTACACCTGTGCAATGTTTGGGTCACACCTGTGTCACACCTGTGTCACCTGTGTCACCATGGAACCCCTCCCCAGGGCACCCTGACCAGCTCCAGGGGTACCCCCGGTACAGCAGCACACCTGGGGGCGCAGGTACAGCCTCACCTGGCACACCTGGGCCTCACCTGCCTCGCGGGTACTGCCCGAACACCAGGTCGGCATCGTCCAGGGCGGCGGCGCTGCCCACGTGCGTCCCCTCCTCGCCGTAGTTGGTCATGTAGAACGAGATCCGGCCCTGCACAGGTGAGAACAGGTGAGCTCCGCCCGCCAGGTGAGCTCCGCCCCCCCCAGATAAGCTCCGCCCCCCCCCCAGGTGAGGCTCACCTGTCGCTGGGACTCGTACAGGATCCTGTCCATGGTGTTGAGCAGCGTCATCGTCTTGTAGAGCTTCAGCACCTTCTCCTTGGGCAGCTGCGGACAGGTGCGACAGGTGAGGGACACCTGGGCAGGTGGGACATCTGTCCCATGTGTCACCTGTCCCAGGTGTGTCACCTGTCCCAGGTGTTTTACCTGTCCCAGCTGTGTGTGTCACCTGTCCCAGGTGTATCTCAGCTGTGTTACCTGTCCCAGGTGTATCTCAGGTGTGTGTCACCTGTCCCAGGTGTGTCACCTGTCCCAGGTGTGTCATTCGTCCCAGGTGTTTTACCTGTCCCAGGTGTATCTCAGGTGTGTCACCTGTCCACGTGTGTTACCTGTGGATCCTCAGACTCTCGGATCACCTGTCCCTGTCTGTCCATCACCCCGGTACACCGGGGATCCCGGCTGTGTCACCTGTCCCAGGTGTGTGTTACCTGTCCAGGTGTATCTCAGGTGTGTCACCCATCCCAGCTGTGTCACCTGTCCCAGGTGTGTGCTACCTGTCCCAGCTGTGTGTTCCATCCTAGCTCCCAGGTGTGTTACCTGAGGATCCTCAGACTCTCAGATCACCTGTCCCTGCCTGTCCATCACCCGGTACACTGGGATCCCAGGTGTGTCACCTGTCCCAGGTGTGTGTTACCTGTCCCAGGTGTGTGTTACCTGTCCAGGTGTATCTCAGGTGTGTGTCACCTGTCCCAGGTGTGTGTTACCTGCCCCAGGTGTATCTCAGGTGTGTCACCTGTCCCAGGTGTGTCACCTGTCTCACCTGGGGGTCCTCGCTGTCCCGGATCACCTGTCCCTGCCTGTCCATCACCCGGTACACCGGGATCCCGGCCAGCACCTGGGGCTGGATGAACTCGAGGCGTTCGGCGAACTCGGCCGAGGCTCCGGGGAACTGCGGCCGCTCCTCGGGGGAGCCCTGGGGACAATGGGGACAATGGGGACACTGGGGTGGCACTGGGGACACGAGGGGACAGCAAGGGTGGCATCAGGGGCACGGGGACAATGGGGACACCGGGAACTGCGGCCGCTCCTGAGGGGAACCCTGGGGACAATGGGGACACTGGGGTGGCACTGGGGACACTGGGACAGCAGGGGTGGCACCGGGGACACGGGAACATGGGGACAGCAGGGACACCAGGGCTGGGACATGGGGACAACGGGGACAGCACAGGTGGCCCTGGGGACGCTGGGACACTGGGGTGGCATCAGGGACAACAGGGACATGGGGACTCCTGGGTGCCCTGCCTGTCTCCCCTCTCTGCCCCCCCCCAATGTCCCCAAGTGTCCCCTCTGTGTCCCCTCCCTGTCCCCCCAATGTCCCCCCCCACTGTCCCCCCCCAATGTCCCCACTCACGGTCCCCAGGAGCCGCCTCGGGACGAGCCCCAGGAGCCGCCGCCGCCACCGCAGCGCCCGCAGCGCCGCCATCTTCCCTGGGGGCGTGGCCTAGCGCCGTGCCGAGCGCTGATTGGCTGCTAGGGGGGCGGTGGAGCGGCTCCAGGGATCTGATTGGCTGCGCGGCCTGAGGGGGAGCCACGCCCCTGGCGGCCTTATAAGGGAATGGTATGGCCACGCCCACTGAGCGGTTTGGGGCGTTGCTGGGTTGACTCCGCCCACTACATAACCATATAACGGGATTTATTTTGCCACGCCCTCTAGATGGCCATATAAGGGAATTTGTTTAGCCACGCCTAAAATGACCGTATAAGGGTGGGCGCTGCATTGGCCACGCCCCTTGAGTGACGTCGGGGACCCCACTCACCCCAAATTTCCCAAACTCCAAATTCCCCAAACCCCGCCCACCATGGGACCCCCCCCCCAAATTCCCCAAATTCCCTTCCCACCCCCCCCATTTTGGCGACCCCAAATTCCCCAAATCCCCCAAATTCTGCCCCAAATTCCGCCCCCCCCCTCACACTCACACCATGGGTGGGGGTCCCGAGGTTTATTTTGGGGAGGGGGGGGGGGGGTTGGGGGGGACAATTCAGGGCAGGAATAACTTAAAAATGGGGGAGGGGTCTCCAGGGGGGGAGGGGTCTGGGTGAGGGGGCGGGGCCATATTTACATCTGTACAAGGTGGGGGAGGGGCTGCAGGTTATTATTGGGGGGGGGTGGGGTCCCCAAAATCTTGGCACCGAAATCTCGGACCCCCAAAGGCACCCCCGAGCCCCCAAAAATGTCCTGGGGGGGGGGTCCCAGCGCCGCTGGTCCCAAATTTGGGGAGGGGTCCCGGGGCTGCTGAATCTATGGGGGGGGTCCTGGTGCCCCCAAAACCCCCGGGGGGGCTTGGGGGGTCCCAATTTCCCTGGGGGGGGTCCTGGGGGTCCCAATCGGGTTCTTGGGGGGGTCCTGGGGGGTCCCAGTCTGGTTCTGGGGGGGTCTCGGGGGTCCTGATGCAGCTCCAGGTCTCATTCCTGGGGGGTCCCGATCCAGTTCCGGTGGTCCCAGGAGGGCCCGGTCTCGATCTTGGGGGGTCCTGGTCCAGTTCTGGGGGTCCTGGTCTCGTTTTGAGGGGGTTCTGGGGGGGTCCTGGTCCAGTTCTGGGGGTCCCAATGCAGCTCGGGGGGTCCTGATCTCATTCTTGGGGGTCCTGGTCCAGTTCCGGGGGTCTCAGGAGGGTCCCAGGGGTCCTGGTCTTGTTCTTGGGGGGTTCCCAATCTGGTTCTGGGGGTCCTGGGGGGGTTCTGGAGGTCCTGATCCAATTCCAGGGGTCCCCGTTTCCTTCTTGGGGGGTCCCGGTCCAGCTCCGGGGGTCCCAATCTCGTTCCTGGGGGGTCCTGGTCTCGATCTTGGGGTGGTCCCAGGGGGTCCCGCTCTGGTTTTGGGGGTCCCGGTGGGGGGGGTTCCAATGCAGCTCCGGGGGTCCCCGTTTCCTTCTTGGGGGGTCCTGGTTCAGGTCTGGGGGTCCCGATCCGGTTCCAAGGGTCCCGTTCTGGTCCCAGTCCCAGTTCTGGGGGGGGTCCTGGGTGGGGGTCCCCAGTCCAGGTCTGGGGGTCCTGGGTGGGGGTCCCGGTCCAGGTCTGGGGGTCCCCATCTTGATCTTGGGAGGTCCCAGGAGGGGGGTCCCAGTCTCGATCTTGGGGGTCCCGATCCAGTTCCAGGGCTCCTGGTTTCCTTCTTGGGGGTCCCGATCCAGTTCCAGGGGTCCCGATCCAGTTCCAGGGGTCCCGATCCAGTTCCGGGGGTCCCGGTTTCCTTCTTGGGGGTCCCAATCCAGTTCCAGGGGTCCCAATCCAGTTCCGGGGGTCCCGGTTTCCTTCTTGGGGCTCCCGATCCAGTTCTGGGGCTCCCGATCCAGTTCCGGGGATCCCGATCCAGTTCCGGGGATCCCGATCCAGTTCCAGGGCTCCCGGTTTCCTTCTTGGGGCTCCCGATCCAGTTCCAGGGGTCCCGATCCAGTTCCGGGGGTCCCGTTCTGGTCCCGGTCCGGTTCCGGGGGGGGGGTCCCGGGTGGGGGTCCCGGGCCCGGGGTGGGTGGGGGGGTGTTGAGGGGGGGGGTCCCGAAGGAGCCCCTCCCCCTCCCCCCCCCCCCCCCCATCCATCACAGCCCCGCCCCCTCGGAGCAGCCGGGGGGCGGCTTCCGCTTGATCCCCAGGTAGATGGCAACTGGGGGGGGGGGGGAGGGGACAGGTGAGTCTGGGGGGGGCCTCGAGACCCCTCCCCAAATTCCGGGGGGGTCCTCGAGGTGTGGGGGAGGGGCAGCACCCACCTTGTGAGCGCAGGTCCCCCGATTCCCGCAGGTTCGTCTGCGACCCTGGGGAGGGGGGGGGGAAAGGTGGGGAGGGGGTCAAGGAGGGGCGGGACCCCCATAGGAACCCCCCACCCTCCCCAAAAAAATCCTCTCAAAAATTTAAAGAAAAAAAAAGCTAGCAAAAATCTCAAAAAAATGCCACAAAAATGTAAAAGAAAAAAAAAAGCCCTAAAAAATAAAGAAAAAATACCCTAAAAATCCAACCACTTTCCCCCGCCAAAATCCCCCCAGAAATCCCCAAAATCACAAAATAAACCCCTCCCCCCAAAAAAAAAAAACCACAAAAATCCCCAAAAAAACCAAAAAAAATCCCCCCCAGGAAACCCCTCAAAAGAAACCCAGGAAACCCCAAAAAACTCCCACCAAAATCCCCCCAAAAAATCCCAAAATTCACCCCCTGGGAAACTCCTAAAAAATCCCCCCAAAAATCCCTAAAATCTCTCCCAGGAAACCCCAAAAAATCCCCAAAAAATCCCCAAAATCCCCCCCAAAAATTTCCCAGCCCCAAAATCTCTCCCAGGAAACCCCAAAAAATTCCCAAAAAAATTTCCCAGCCCCAAAATCCCCCCCAAAAAATCTCGGACAGGTGTCCCCAGGTGTGTCCCAGGTGTCCCCAGGTGTGTCCCAGGTGTCCCCAGGTGTCACTCACGGATTTTGGTGGCTCCAGGGCCGGGCGTGGCCGAGACGCAGCGATTGGAGCTCTGCCGGCGGGAGGGGTCAAGGGACACCCTGGGACAGGTGAGAGAACAGGTGAGGGACGGGTGTGCCCAGGTGTGCCCAGGTGTGTCTGACCCCCCAGGTGTATCCCAGGTGTGCCCAGGTGTGTCTGACCGCCCAGGTGTGCCCAGGTGTGCCCAGGTGTGCCCAGGTGTATCCCAGGTGTGTCTGATCTCTCCCCAGGTGTATCCCAGGTGTGCCCAAGGTGTATCCCAGGTGTGCCCAGGTGTGCCCCAGGTGTATCTCAGGTGTTTCCCAGGTGTGCCCAGGTGTATCCCAGGTGTGCCCAGGTGTATCCCAGGTGTATCCCAGGTGTGCCCAGGTGTACCCAGGTGTACCCGGGTGTGCCCAGATGTATCCCAGGTGTGCCCCAGGTGTATCCCAGGTGTATCCCAGGTGTATCCCAGGTGTGTCTGATCTCTCCCCAGGTGCATCCCAGGTGTATCCCAGGTGTACCCAGGTGTATCCCAGGTGTATCCCAGGTGTGTCTGATCTCTCCCCAGGTGTGCCCAGGTGCATCCCAGGTGCATCCCACGTGTATCCCAGGTGTGCCCAGGTGTATCCCAGGTGTATCCCAGGTGTATCCCAGGTGTGCGCTCACCTGCGGCTCAGTTTCGAGGTGATCTTGCTCAGCAGTGTCGCCGTCGGGCGGGGCCGGGGGGAGGAGGCGGCGCTGGGGGGGGGAGGGGGCGAGGCGGGGGGAGGAGCTCCCGAGGCCCCGCCCCCCCGGCGGCTCCCGGTTCCGGTTCCGGCCCCGCCCCCTCCGTGGAAGGTGCTGCGGGCGGAGCAGCCCCGGGCCAGGTGCGCCAGGTGAGCCCCGCCCAGGTGAGCCCCGCCCAGGGAGTGGCTGGAGGGGGAGGGCGGGGGGCGGGAGGGGAGGCTGGGGAGAGAAGTGTGACGTCATCCGTGACGTCAGAGGTGATGTCACACACAGGTGACCTCACACACACCCACAGGTGACACCAAAGGTGACCCCACCCCCACCCCCCAGCCCCATAGTGGGAGGGGCCCAGGTGGGCCTGGGGTGATTTTGGGTGAATTTAAGGCGATTTTGGGGTAATTTCGGGTGGATTTGGGGTGGATTTCAGGCGGTTTCAGGTGCGCCCAGGTGTGGCACTCACCTGTCCTTGCCGTTGGGCAGCAGCAGGTGGGCTTGGGGTGATTTTGGGGTAATTTTGGGTGGATTTGGGGTGGATTTCAGGTGGTTTCAGGTGTGCCCAGGTGTGGCACTCACCTGTCCTTGCCGTTGGGCAGCAGCAGGTGCCGCTCCCCCCCCGAGCACACGTAGGTGTTCCTGCGGCCCATCACGCTGGGGGGCACGTGGGGCTGGGGGCACACGGGGGCACCTGGGCTCACCTGGGCTCGCCCCACAGGCACAGGTGCCCCCCAGGTGTGCCCAGGTGGCCCCCCAGGTGTGCCCAGGAGCTCTCCCAGCCCCTCCAGACATTCCCAGGTGCCCCCAGGTGTGCCCAGGTATCCCCAGGTGTCCCCCCAGGTGTGCCCAGGTGCCCCCCAGGTATCCTCAGGTGTTCCCAGGAGCTCTCCCAGCCCCTCCAGATGTTCCCAGGTGCCTCCAGGTGCCCCCAGGTGTGTGCCCAGGTGCCCCCCCAGATATTCCCACCCCCCCAGGTGTGCCCAGGTGTGTGCCCAGGTATCCCTCCAGGTGTGCCCAGGTGTGTGCCCAGGTGTGCCCAGGTGCCCCCAGGTGCCCCCCCAGGTGTGCCCAGCTGTGCCCAGGTGTGCCCACCTGTCCGTCCAGGTGTGACCTCTCGGGGATCTCGGCCTTGTTGGGGTTGTGGGCGCTGCTGACCAAGGGGCTGCAGGGAGGGGGGAGGGGCGGCCCGGCCCCTCCCCCACCTCCCCCGCCCCTCCCCCCTCCTCCTCCTCCTCCTCCGGAGCCCCTCCTGGGGGGCGGGGCCACGCCCCCGGCCACGCCCAGCTCCGAGGAGGGGGGAGGGGCGGCCGAGGGGGGGCTGCGGCGGGGGGGAGGGGCGGCCGAGGGGGCGGGGCCACCTGTGGGGTCACGGAGGGGTCAAGGAGGGGTCACACCCCCCCAGGACCCCCCCAATGTCCCCAAATATCCCAAAATGTCCCCAATGTCCCCCAATCCCCCCAATGTCCCCCATCCCAAAATGTTCCCAACCCCCCCAATGTCCCCAATGTCCTCAATGTCCCCAACCCCCCCAATGTCCCCCCAATGTCCCCCGGTGTCCCCAAAGTCCCCCAATCCCCCCAATGTCCCCAATGTCCCAAATCCCCCCAATCCCCCCAATCCCCCCAATGTCCCCAGTGTCCCCAATTCCCCCAATGCCCCCAATGTCCCCGATGTCCCCAACCCCCCCAATGTCCCCCCAATGTCCCCCAGTGTCCCCAAAGTCCCCCAGTCCCCCCAATGTCCCCAATCCCCCCAATGTCCCCAATGTCCCAAATCCCCCCAATCCCCCCAATGTCCCCAGTGTCCCCAATTCCCCCAATGCCCCCAATGTCCCCCAATGTCCCCACTGTCCCCAATGTCACTCACAGAAGTCGCTGTGCCGCCGCTGCCGGTGGTGGCCGCCCCCACGCTGTCCCTTGCCGTGGGATGTCCCCGACGATGTCCCCGATGTCCCCGACTTGGTGGCACCGTTGGGAGCCTCGGCCGAGCCCCGGGGCCGGGACAGGGACAGGGACAGCGAGGTGCCACCCTCGGGCTGTCACCAACGGGGTCACAGTGTCACCAGCGGGGTCACAGTGTCATCAATGTCCCCACAATGTCCCCAGTGTCCCAAATATCCCCAATCCCCTGATGTCCCCAGTGTCCCCAATCCCTTCAATGTCCCCAACGTCCCCAATGTTCCCAATCCCCCCAATGTCCTCCAGTGTCCCCAATGTCCCCAATCCCCCTGACCTCCCCCAATGCCCCCAATGTCCCCAATCCCCCTGATCTCCCCCAATGTCCCCAGTGTCCCCCAATGCCCCCAATGTCCCCCAGTGTCCCCAATGTCCCCAGTCCCCCTGATCTCCCCCAATGTCCCCAATCCCTCCAATGTCCCCAATCCTCCCAGTGTCCCCCAGAGTCCCCAATGCCCCCAATGTCCCCAGTGTCACCCACCTCTCCCTGCCGGCCCAGCAGCAGGTACATGGCCATGTCCCCACTGTCCCCAATGTCCTCAATGTCCCCAATGTCCCCCAGTGTCCCCAGTGTCACCCACCTCTCCCCGCCGGCCCAGCAGCAGGTACGTGGCCATGTCCCCACTGTCCCCAATGTCCCCAGTGTCCCCAGTCCCCCCAGTGTCCCCCAGTGTCCCCAGTGTCACCCACCTCTCCCCGCCGGCCCAGCAGCAGGTACGTGGCCGTGTCCCAGTGTCCCCAATGTCCCCCAGTGTCCCCAGTGTCCCCAGTGTCACCCACCTCTCCCCGCCGGCCCAGCAGCAGGTACGTGGCCGTGTCCCCAGTGTCCCCAATGTCCCCAGTGTCCCCAATGTCCCCCAGTGTCCCCAGTGTCCCCAGTGTCACCCACCTCTCCCCGCCGGCCCAGCAGCAGGTACATGGCCATGTCCCAGTGTCCCCAATGTCCCCAATGTCCCCCAGTGTCCCCAGTGTCCCCAGTGTCCCCAGTGTCCCCAGTGTCCCCAGTGTCACCCACCTCTCCCCGCCGGCCCAGCAGCAGGTACGTGGCCGTGTCCCAGTGTCCCCAATGTCCCCCAATGTCCCCCAGTGTCCCCAGTGTCACCCACCTCTCCCCGCCGGCCCAGCAGCAGGTACGTGGCCGTCACCTCGTTGTACTTGTGGGTGCTCAGCGCCTCCTTGATCTCCTCCCTGGTGTAGCCCATGCCCACCATCACCTCTGCGGGGACACGGCGGTGTCACCGACGCCCCTGGGGTGTCCCCGAGGTGCCACCTGTCCCCGTGCCCCCCTCACCGATGCGTTTGGTGTCCCCAAAGTCCTCCTGGGGCTCCGTGTAGGGCGTCAGCTCGTCGCCCTCGTAGCCAATGTTGATCCACTTGTCCTTCATGATTTGCTGTTTGGGGACATTGGGGACATTGGGGGGCATTGGGGACATTTGGGGGACATTGGGGGCATTGGGGACATTTGGGGGGCATGGGGGACATTTGGGACATTGGGGACATTTGGGACATTTGGGACACTTGAGATATTGGGGACACAGGTGGCAGAGGGGTGACAGGGGTGGCAAAAGGGGGACACAGCAGGGAAAAGGGGGACTCAGGTGCCACCACAGGGGACAGGGACAAAGCCCATCAAAGCCACCCCAAAATCCCTGCCAGGACCCCCCCAGACTGCCCCAAATCCACACCAGGACCCCCAAACCCCCCAAAATGCCCCCAAACCCCTCAAAACCGTCCCAGGACCCCTCAAAACCCTCCCAGGACCTCTCAAAACCACCCCAAAACTCCGCAAGCTGTCCCAAAACCTCCTCTAACCCCCTCAAACTGCCCCAAATGCCCCCGAAACTGCCCCAGATCTCCCCAAATCTCTTTTGGGGACCCCGATACCTCGAGGGTGCAGTGCTTGGTGGGGTCGAGTGGCACAGGACGTTCTCGCAGCCCCAAATCCCCCCAAAACCACCCCAAATCTCTTTCAGGACCCCCAAATCGCCCCAAACTACCCCAAATCACCCCCGAACTGCCCCAAATCTGTGTTGGGGACCCCCCAGACCGCCCGGGTACCTCGAGGGTGCAGCGCTTGGCGGGGTTGAGCACCAGGAAGCGGCGCAGGATGTTCTCGCAGTCCGTGGACATGTAGAAGGGCACGCGGTATTTGCCCCGCAGCACCCGCTCCCGCAGCTCCTGGGGGGGCACGCGGGGTCACCGGGGGTCACCCGGGGTCAGCTGGGGTCACTGGGGGCAGTCAGGGTCAGCTGGGGTCAGTCAGGGTCAGCTGGGTCAGTTGGGGTCACTCAGGGTCACTGAGGGCACCCGAGGTCAGTTGGGGTCAGCTGAGGTCAGTCAGGGTCAGTGAGCACGCAATGACCGGGAGGTGACCAGGGGCACCAGGAGGTGACCAAACAGTGACCAGGAGATGACCACAGGTGACAATGACCACAGGTGACAATCACCGCCAGGCCACACCCACCAGAGTGACCACTGACCCTGCAGGACCTCAGGGGTCACAGGAGGTGGCTGAGGAGGGTCAGAACCGAGTGACCACGCAGTGACCACGCAATGACCAGGAGGTGACCACGCAGTGACCAAGGGTGACAATCGCCTCCAGGCCACGCCCACCAGAGTGACCACTGACCAGCTGACCCCTGGGGGGAGCTCTGAGGTCATGGGGGGTGGCTGAGGAGCATCAGAACCAAGTGACCACGCAGTGACCACGCAATGACCAGGAGGTGACCACAGGTGACAGGAGGTGCTGGTCACCTCCAGACCACGCCCACCACAGTGACCACTGACCCTGCGGGACCTCAGGGGTCACAGGAGGTGGCTGAGGAGCATCAGAACCAAGTGACCACGCGATGACCACGCAATGACCGGGAGGTGACCACGCAGTGACCGAACAGTGACCAGGAGGTGACGGCGCGGGCTCCCAGCGGTCACCTTGAGGTTGTGGCCGTCGAAGGGCAGCGAGCCGCTGACCAGCGTGTACAGGATGACCCCCAGGCTCCAGATGTCCACCTCGGGCCCGTCGTACTTCTTGCCCTGGAAGAGCTCGGGGGCGGCGTACGGGGGCGAGCCACAGAACGTGTCCAGCTTGGAGCCGCGCGAGAACTCGTTGCTGAAGCCAAAATCCGCGATCTTGATGTTGGCGTCGGCGTCCAGCAGCAGGTTCTCGGCCTGGGGACATCATCAGGGACATGGGGACATCATCAGGGACACAGGGACATTGGGATGGGGACACAGGGACACTGGGATGGGGACACAGGGACATTGGTATCTTGGTGTTGGCGTCGGCGTCCAGCAGCAGGTTCTCGGCCTGGGGACGTGTGGGGACATCATCAGGGACATGGGGACATCATCAGGGACACTGGGATGGGGACACAGGGACATTGGGATGGGGACACTGGGACATTGGGATCTTGATGTTGGCATCAGCGTCCAGCAGCAGGTTCTTGGCCTGGGGACGTTTGGGGACATCATCAGGGACACGGGGACATCGGAGGGGACAGGGATATTGGGACAGGAATGGGGACAATGGGACAGGGACACCACCAGAGGGACAGGGACATTGGGACAGGAACGGGGACATGGGGATGGGGACACTGGACATGGCCACAGGGACACAGTGACACCAGGATGGACACAGGGACAGGGACACCAGGACAGGGACACCAGGATGGACACAGGGACACCGGGACGGACACAGGGACGGTGACACCAGGACGGACACGTGGTGCCACCCCCGTGTCCCCACCCCGTCCCACCTTGAGGTCCCTGTGCACGATGTTCTTCTGGTGGCAGTAGTGCACGGCCGAGACGATCTGGGGACAGAGGTGGCACTGTCACCACGGGTCCCCACAGTGTCCCCAACCACCCCAGGATGTCCCCAACCCTCCACAGATGTCCCCAGATCTCTCCAAAATGTCCCCAAACCCCCTCAGGATGTCCCCAACCCGTCCCCAATGTCCCCACCTGTCTGAACTTGGCCCGCGCCTCCTTCTCCTTCATCCTCCCGTGGGACACCAGGTAATCGAACACCTCACCTGGGGGGGACACACCTGGGTCAGGACACGCCAAAAAAAACCCAAAAATCCCCCAAAAATATCCCAAAATATCATCCAAAATATTCCCCAAAAAATCCCCCCAAAATATCCCCAAATATCCCCCAAAATATCCCCAAATCCACACCAGGCAGTTCAAACGCCTCACCTGGGGGGGACACACACCTGGGTCAGGACGCGTCAAAAAAAACCCCAAAAAATATCCCAAAATATCATCCAAAATATTCCCCAAAAAATCCCCCCAAAATATCCCCAAATATCCCCCAAAATATCCCCAAATATCCCCCCAAATATCCCCAAATCCACACCAGGCAGTTCAAACGCCTCACCTGGGATGGGGGACGACACACACCTGAGCGAGCCAGACCCCAAAATATCCCAAAATATCCCCCAAAAAATCCCAAAACATTCACAAAACATCATCCCAAATATCCCAGAAAATATCCCCCACCCCCAAAAAATCCCCCCAGTCCCTCAGGATGTCCCCAAAGCTCCCTCAGGTGTCCCCAGGTGTCCCCAGGTGTCCCTCACCTGCGCTGGCGTACTCCATCACCAGGTACAGCGTCTTCTCTGTCCCCAGGTTCCCTCAGGATGTCCCCAAAGCCCCCTCAGGTGTCCCCCAGGTGTTCCCCCAGGTGTCCCCAATGTCCCCCAGGTGTCTCTGATGTCCCCAAAGCCCCCCCAGGTGTCCCCAGGTGTCCCTCACCTGCGCTGGCGTACTCCATCACCAGGTACAGCGTCTTCTCCGTCTCGATCACCTCAAACAGCTTCACTGCAATGGGGGGAACACAGGGGGGGCATGGGGACCCCTCCCCAAATTACACAGACCTCCCCCCACCCCAGGACCCCTCCCCAAATTACACAGACCTCCCCCCACCCCCGGGACCCCTCCCTAAATTACACAGACCTCCCCCCACCGGGACCCCTCCCCAAATTACACAGACCTCCCCCCCCCCCACTGGGACCCCTCCCCAAATTACACAGACCTCCCCATTTGAGGACCCCTCCCCATTTCCAGGACACCATTTTTGGGACCCCTCCCCATTTTGGGGACCCCTCCTCAATTCCAGGGACCCCTCCCCATTTCCAGGACGCCATTTTTGGGACCCCTCCCCATTTTGGGGACCCCTCCCCATTTCTCTCACCGATATTGGGGTGATTCAGCCCCTTCATGATCCGAACTTCCCGAAAAAGCTGAGGAGGAGGAGGGGAAAAAGGGTCAGGGGGGAGCTGGAGACCCCTCCCCAAATGAGGAGACCCCTCCTCAAACGGGGAGACCCCTCCCCAAACCCCCCGGGACCCCTCCCCACCTTCTGCAGGCTGGTGGGGTTCAGCTGGGTCTTGTCGATGATTTTGATGGCGACCTGAAATTGGGGAGGGGGCGCTGAGGGGACCCCTCCCCAAATTCACCTGGGATCCCCTGAGACCCCTCCCCAAATTCCCCTGAGATTCCCCCCCCCAAATAACTTGAGACCCCTCCCCAAATTCACCTGGGATCCCCTGAGACCCCTCCCCAGATTCAGCTGAGATTCCCCCCAAATAACCTGAGACTCCTCCCCAAATTCCCCTGAGACCCTCCTGGGACCCCCAAATCCCCCCTGAGCCCCCTCCCCAAACTCCAAATCCCCTCTAAACCCCAAATCCCCCCTAAACCCCCTCAAATCCCCCTGAGCCCCCTTGCATCACCCCAAATCACCTCATAGCCCCCTCCCCATCACCCTGAGCCCCCTCCCACCTCCTCAAATCACCTCATAGCCTCTTCCTGTCACCCCAAATCGCCCCTAAACCCCCTCAAATCCCCCCTGAGCCCCCTCCCCAAACGCCTGAGCCCCCTCCCATCACCCCGAGCCTTCTCGAACCACCCCAAATCCCCCTCCCACCACCCCAAATCTTCCCCAAACCCCCTCAAATCTCCCTAAAATCCCCTCAAATCCCCCCCAGAGCCCCCTGCCCACCTCTCTGCCCATCAGGACGTGCCGGGCCAGCCTGGCCTTGGCCGAGTTGCCCTCGCCGATGGTGCCCCAAATCCCCCCAAAATCCCCCCAAAATCCCCCCAAATCCCCCAAAATCCCCCCCGAGACCCCTCCCACAACCCTCAATCACCTCATAGCCCCCTCCTGTCACCCCAAATCCCCCCAAAACGCCCTCAAATCCCCGTCTAGCCCCCTCCCCAAATGCTTGAGCCCCCTGCCCACCTCTCTGCCCGTCAACACGTGCCGGGCCAGCCTGGCCTTGGCTGAGTTGCCTTCGCCGATGGTGCCCCAAATCCCCCCAAAATCCCCCCAAATCCCCCCAAATCCCCCCAAATCCCCCCCGAGACCCCTCCCCAGAGCCCCCCCGAGCCCCCTGCCCACCTCTCTGCCCGTCAGCACGTGCCGGGCCAGCTTGACCTTGGCGAAGTTGCCCTTGCCGATGGTGCGCAGCAGCCGGTAGTTGCCCACGTGGGGAGGGGGCTCCTCGGACCCCCCCCCCCAGGGAGTTCCTGCCCCCCCGGCCTGGGGGAGGGGCGGCTCCGGACCCCCGCCCGGTCCAGCCCCCCCCACCGGGCTTGTCGGGGCGGGCGCTGCCCCCCGGGCCCAGCTGGGATGGGAGGGGGGGGAAACAGGGGTGAGACCCCTCCCCAAATTAGCACAGTGAGACATTCACCCCATTATCATCACAGTGAGACCCCTCCCCAAATTACCACAATGACACATTCACCCCATTATCATCACAGTGGGACCCCTCCCCAAATTAGCACAGTCCCCAAATATCACAGTGAGACCCCTCCCCAAATTAATGTCATAGTGAGACATTCACCCCGATGATTATCACAGTGGGACCCCTCCCCAAATTAATGTCACAGTGAGACATTCACCCCGATGATCACACTGGGACCCCTCCCCAAATATCACAGTCCCCAAATATCACAGTGGGACCCCTCCCCAAATTAATGTCATAGTGAGACATTCACCCCATTGTCAGAGCGAGACCCCTCCCCAAATATCACAGTCCTCAATTGTCACAGTGAGACCCCTCCCCAAAGTAATGTCATAGTGAGACATTCACCCCGATGATTATCACAGTGAGACCCCTCCCCAAATTACCACAATGACACATTCACCCCGATTGTCATGGTGGGACCCCCCCCAAATATCACAGTGGGACCCCTCCCCAAATTAGCACAGTCCCCAAATATCACAGTGGGACCCCTCCCCAAATTAATGTCATAGTGAGACATTCACCCCGATAATTATCACAGTGGGACCCCTCCCCAAATTACCACAATGAGACATTCACCCCATTATCATCACAGTGGGACCCCTCCCCAAATTAGCACAGTCCCCAAATATCACAGTGGGACCCCTCCCCAAATTATCACAATGAGACATTCACCCCAAATATCACAGTGGGACCCTTCCCTAAATTATGGGGTTAACCCTGAGAACACCCTGAATTATCACAGTGAGACCCTCACTCAAATTATCACATTAAGACCCTCATACAAAATATCACAGGGAGACCCCCACCAAAAATATGACAGTGAGACCCCTCCCCAAATTAACATCACTATGAGACCCTCGTACAAAATATCACAGTGAGACCCCCACTCAAATAAATGCCACAGTGAGACCTCTCCCCAAATTAATGTCACAGTGAGACCCCCACCCTAATTATGGGATCACCCAAATATCACAGTGGGACCCCTCCCCAAATTAATGTCACAGTGAGACCCCCCCACTCGAATTATGGGGTCATCCTGCCCCCCCCGCCAAAATAATCTCAGGGGGGTGAGACCCCCACCCAAATTACAGCAGGGGCAAGACCCTCCCCCAGAGTCCCAAAAAGCTCCCCAAAATCCCTGAGACCCCTCCCCAAAACCCCTCAGACCCTCCAAAATCGCAGAGTGGGACCCCAAACCCCTCCCGGCGCCCCCCGATGCCCCCAGACCCCTCCCAGTTCCCCCAGACCCATCCCGGTACCCCCCAGACCCCTCCCGGTACCCCCCAAACCCCTCCCGGTACCCACCCTCCCTCACCCCTTCCCTCCCCATCCCCTCCCGGTGCCCTCCGGTTCCCCCCAATCCTCTCCCGGTTGCCCCCAGACCCCTCCCGGTACCCCCTGGTACCGACCCAGCCCTTCCCGGTACCCCCCGGTGCCCCCGGACCCCTCCCGTTCCCCACCCACCCTCACCCGTTCCCTCTCCATCCCCTCCCGGTGCCCTCCCGGTACCCCCCAGACCCCTCCCGGTCCCTCCCGGTTCCCCCCCCCGCCCTCAGGCCTACGCCCGTTCCCGCCTCGCCCTCACCGTGTCCGCGTTCCGCTCGTTGCCCGCCGCCAGGGCGGAGCGCGAGGACATGGTCCCGGCCCGGGGGGGGGCACCGGGGGGGGGGCACCGGGGGGCACCGGAAGGGGCGGTCCCGCTGCGGGGGGGGGGGGGGTCCCGTTCCCGTTGCCGTTACCGGGGGGGCCGGGCCGGGGCGGCCATGGCGGCCATGGCGCCGGAACCGGAAGCGGGGCGGCGACAGAGTGGGCGGGGTTCTGACCGTAAAAGGAGAATGGTTCTGAGGGGTTGGCCACGCCCACGGAGGGGAGCGTGGCCAATCAGAAGGCGGCGTTGCGGCATGGAGACAGATGGGCACGCCCCCCGAGGGGGCGGGGTTAAAGGAGGGTGGTGCGCGGTGATTGGCTGAGCGGTGGCCAATGGGGAGGGAGAGCGGGGTTTAATGGATGATTGACGGGGGAGGGGTCACGTGGGGCGCGCGGGGGTCGCCTGTGTCACACCTGGGGTCACGTGGGTCACCTGTGGAGTCACCTGTGTCACCCAGGTCCCCTCCCTGTCATACCTGGAGTCACCCGTGTCACACCTGGGGTCACCTGTGCCACCCGTGTCACCCTCGGGGTCACCTGTGTCACCTCCGTGTCACACCTGTGTCACACCTGGGGTCACCTGTGTCACACCTGTGTCACCTGTGCCACCCGTGTCCTCTCCGTGTCGCACTTGGGGTCACCTGTGTCCCCTCCCCAGTGTCCCCTCCCGCTGTCCCCACTGTCCCCGCTGTCCCCGGTGCCACCAGGGTCCCATCCCGGTGTCCCCGCTGTCCCCAGTATCCCCAAGGTCTCCCCTCGCTGTCCCCGCTGTCCCCTCCGGGTCCCCCCTCCCGGTGTCGGTCCCGGAGCGGAACCGGGGCTGACCCTGCCCGGCCGGGGAGGCCCCTCCGGGGCGGCGCTTCCTCAGGAAACCCCGGACAGCGGCCAGCGCCACCAGTGTCACCGCAGACACCGCTGGTGACACTGCCAGCACCGCCGGTGTCGCCACAGCCAGAGCCACCAGAGCCACCGGTGTGACCGCCAGCGCCACCAGTGTCACCGCAGACGCGGCCAGCGCCGCCGCAGCCACCGCCGGTGACACTACACTGCCGTCGGTGTCACCACAGCACCGCCAGAGCCACCGGGGCCACCGGTGTCACCACAGCACCGCCGCTAAAGCCACCGGAGCCACCGCCGGTGTCGCCAGAGCCACCGGAGCCACCACAGCACCGCCAGTGCCACCGCACCGCCGCCGTTGTCCCCGCAGCAGCGCCAGTGTCACCACCGCCGCTAAAGCCACCAGAGCCACCAGGGCCACCGCTGTCACCGCCGGTGTCACCACAGCCGTGTCACCGTAGCTGCCACCGCTGAAGCCACCGGAGCCACCAAAGCCGCTGCCCCCGGTGCCCCCGGAGCCCCCGCGCCGCTCCCGGGGGTCTCCATCCTCCCGCCTGCCGCGTCCCCTCCGTGTCCCCCCCTCTGTCCCCTCGCTGTCCCCTCCTCTGTCCCCCCCGGTGTCCCCCCGGTGTCCCCCGGTGCCACTCCCGGTGTCCCCCCGGCCATGCCGCTGCTGCGGAGACCCCCGGATGGCTCTCGGGAGGACGGGGGGGACCCGTTCGCCGCGGACCCCGAGGGTCGCCGGCGCCGCCGCGCCACCCTGGGCGGGCTGGTGGGGCTGGGGGGACAACTGGGGGGACACCTGGGACACCTCGGGGGACACCTCGGGGCTCCCTTCGGCCGCCGCCTCCTCCGCGACCCCGCCGGGCCCCGCGGGCGCCGCCGCTCCGAGGACTCGGGGGTCGCACGGAGACCCCCGGAGGAATCGGGGGGCGGCAAGCGGGGGTCGCTGCTGAGGCTGGCCTTGGGGACATGGGGACAGCGCGGGACAGAGAAGGTGTCGCCGGTGGAGGGACAGGCGGGGGACAGCGCGGAGGGAGCGGGAGAGCGGCGGGAGAGCGGCGGGAGGGACAAGGACGGCGACGGGGACCGGGAAAGGGACAGGGAGCCGCTGTCCGGTGAGTGGGGACACGGGAAAACCGGGGGGGCTTGGGGACAACGGGGGGACAGGGGGGTTTGGGGACACTGAGAGGGACCGGGAAAGGGACAGGGAGCCGCTGTCTGGTGAGTGGGGACAGGGGGACAACGTGGTGGGGACAGGGGGGCAATGGGGGGACGGGGGGTTGGGGACACCAGGGGGACAGGGAGGCCTGGGGACATCGGGGGGACATCAGGGTTGGGGACACGAGGGGGGCTTGGGGACATGAGGGGGGACAACGGGGGGAGAGGGGGTTTGGGGACATGAGGAAGTGGGGGCTTGGGGTTGGTGACAGAGGCCACAGGGACATGAGGATGGGGACAGGGGACACGGGGATGGGGACAGGGGACACGAGGACAAAGGGATGGGGACAAGGGGACAGGGAACACAGGGATGGGGACAGGGAATGGGGACAGGGGATTTAGGGACATGAGGACATGGGGACAAGGGGGTGGTGACAAGGGACACAGGGACACAGGGATGGTGACAAGGGACACGGAACTTGGGGACACGGGGACCACAGGGATGGGGACATGGGCCCTGTGGCCATGGGGAACGGAGGACACGGGGATGGTGACAAGGGACGTGGGGACAAGGGGACAGGGGACACGGGGATGGTGACACCCGGTGGCCCTGTGCCCACGGAGCCAGGTGCCACCCCCGGTGCCACCCCCGTGTCCCCGCAGTGCTGGAAATCCTGGAGCTCATCCAGCGCCGGCACCTGGTGGCCGCGGACGCTCAGATCATCGCCCTGGAGGCCGAGTGCTCCCTGTCCCCATCGCGCCCTCCCTCCCCGGGTCCCCTCCCCGCGTCCCCTTCCTCCCCATCCCCATCCTCCTCTTCCTCCTCCTCCTCTCCGCCCTCCCCGGTCCCCGCTGGCGGCCGCCGAGCCCGGGACGTGGCTTTGCTTTACCGGGCGCTCCTGTCACAGCTCTGGGCCGTGGTGGCCGAGTCGGTGACATCGCCGCCACCCGCGCTGGCCCCGCTGCGAGCCGTGGTGGCCGTGCTGGAGCAGGAGGAGGCGGCGGACGCTCGGTGCCCACCGGGGACGCGCCCGGGGCGGCCTCGGGCGCTGCGGCGGCGCTGGCACGAAGCGGTGGCCAGGGCGGCCGGGGAGAGGCTGGCGCAGGTGGCACCGGCGGGCGGGCTCGGGGCTCGGCTGGCGGCGCTGGCCGCGAGGGTGGTGGGAGACCTGGGGGTCGTGAGGAGCCGCGTGGCCCCCGAGTACCCCCCCGAGTGGGGGGCGCTGGGCGTTTACGCCCGGGGCTACCACCGGGCGCTGGGGCAGCAGGTGAAGGCGCTGGCGCAGAGGCCGCTGGATGTGCCCGAGATGTACCTGCTGCTGGATTGGCACAGCAACGCCTATCCCAGGTGAGACCCCAAAATCTGCCCCATAGAAATGCTTATCCCAGGTGAGAACCCCAAAATCTGCCCCATAGAAATGCCTATCCCAGGTGAGAACCCCGAAATCTGCCCCACAGACACACCTAGCACAGGGAAAACACCCCGAAATCTGCCCCACAGAAATGCCTGCCCCATAGAAATGCTTATCCCAGGTGAGAACCCCGAAATCTGCCCCACAGACACACCTAGCACAGGGAAAACACCCCGAAATCTGCCCCACAGAAATGCCTGCCCCAAAATCGGCCCCATCGTAACACCTATCCCAGGTGAGACCCCAAAATCTGCCCCACAGACACACCTAGCACAGGGAAAACACCCCGAAATCTGCCCCACAGACACACCTAGCACAGGGAAAACACCCCGAAATCTGCCCCACAGACACACCTAGCACAGGTGAGAACCCCCAAATCTGCCCCATAGAAATGCTTATCCCAGGTGAGAACCCCAAATCTGCCCCACAGACACACCTAGCACAGGTGAGAACCCCGAAATCTGCCCCACAGAAATGCTTATCCCAGGTGAGAACCCCGAAATCTGCCCCACAGACACACCTAGCACAGGGAAAACACCCCGAAATCTGCCCCACAGAAATGCCTGCCCCAAAATCAGCCCCACAGACACACCTAGCACAGGGAAAACACCCCGAAATCTGCCCCACAGTAATGCCTGCCCCATAGAAATGCTTATCCCAGGTGAGACCCCCCAAATCTGCCCCACAGACACACCTAGCACAGGGAAAACACCCCGAAATCTGCCCCACAGAAATGCCTGCCCCAAAATCGGCCCCATAGTAATGCCTGCCCCATCGTAACGCCTATCCCAGGTGAGAACCCCAAATCTGCCCCATAGAAATGCTTATCCCAGGTGAGACCCCCCGAATCTGCCCCACAGACACACCTAGCACAGGGAAAACACCCCAAAATCCCCTCAATGTCCCCATTGTCCCCAAATCCCCCCAATGTCCCCAAAGTCCCCAAATCCCCCCAATGTCCCCCATGTTCCCCAGGGAGGTTTTGGGGCACCCCGAGGTGGGGGCGCTGCTGCGGGTGCAGGAATTGGGGCCCCTCCTGCCCCCCGAGATCCAGAGGGACCTGGAGAGATCCTGCATTGCTGCCGTCAAGGTGGGGACATTTGGGGACATTGGGGACATTGGGGACATTGGGGACATTGGGGGATAGGGGGGATTGGGGACACTGAGGGGATTAGGGGGACAATGGGGGACATTGGGGGGACATTTGGGGACATTGGGGACATTGGGGGGATTGGGGACATTGGGGACATTGGGGACACTGAGGGGATTGGGGGGACAATGGGGGACATTGGGGGGACATTTGGGGACATCGTGGGGATATTTTGGGACATTTGGGGACACCGTTGTCCCCACGATGTCCCCAAATGTCCCCTGCCAGGCCAAGGTGGAGGTGGCCGTGGCGCAGGAGCTGCAGCTGAGCGAGGACAGGTGGCCCGAGGATGTCACCAGCCAGGACATGGACGAGGGGCTGGCCACGCGTGTCACCGGGGTTTGTCCTTGTCCCCTGGGGCGGCATCTGGGTATGGCCGTGCCACCACCTGGACTTGTCCCTGTCACACTGCAGTGACAGCCATGCGGGGACAGTGGTGGCCAAGGGGACATTGTGGCAGTGGTGGTGCCACCACGGCTCAGGGGACACCATGGCCGTGTCCCCACACCTGTGGTGGCCTTGTCCCCACGGTGGCCTTGTCCCCACGGTGGCCTTGTCCCCACAGCTGCTGCGGGCGCACGTGGACCGAGCCCCCCAGGTGACCCCCGAGTTTGGCCGGGAGATGGCGCACAGCCTGCTGGGAGTGCTGGTGGCCTTCCTGCACAGGTGGGACACCTGGGGACACCCTTGGGGACACCCTGGGGACACCCTGGGGACATGGGGACACCGGGATGGGACACAGGCCAGGACATGGGGGCACCTGGGGACACCCTGGGGACTGCCTGGGGACACCTTGGGGGATGTGGGGACACTGGGATGGGACACAGAACGGACATGGGGACATCCTGGGGACACCCTTGGGGACATCCTGGGGACACCCTGGGGATATGGGGACACCCTGGGGACATGGGGACACCAGGATATGACACAGGCCAGGACATGGGGACACCCTTGGGGACATCCTGGGGACAGCCTGGGGACTGCCTGGGGATGCAGGGACACCGGATGGGACACAGAACGGACATGGGGACACCCTGGGGACACTGGGATGGGACACAGGCCAGGACATGGGGACGCCCTGGGGGACACAGGGACACGCCAGGTGCCCCAAAAGCCACAACATCCCCTGTGGCATTCCCCGTCACCCCGGGCAGTGCCACCGCCCCTTTGGTGACGCCGCTGTCCCCGTGCAGCTTCCAGCGCAAAGTCGAGCGGTTCCTGGACAGCCCCGGTGACCTCGCCCCGCCCGATGCCACCCCCGGCCGCGCCATCGCCTTGGCCAACTGCTGCCCCCCGTTCAGGTGAGGCCAGCGCCTGTCCCCAGGTGTCCCCAGGGTGCTGCGAGGCCCCGGTGTCACCTCGGTGTCCTCACTCTGTCCTAGTGAGCCCGTGATGGTTTGTGGGGCGATCTCAGGGTGCGAGGGGGTTTGCAGTGATAACCGAAACAAACTCACCTTTATTGAGTGACCACAGCAAAACGCGATAGAGGGATTGAGGGAGAGAAAGAGAGGAGGAGAGAGAGAAAAGAGAGAGAGAGAGAGGGGATAGAGCTCCCAAACGTAGAGACGAAGTCCTTTGGTCCAGTCCAGCCGAGGATCCACCTGTGACATCGGGGAGATCTCCAAGTCTCTGGCTAACTCAGAGGTTTTTATTGTGATAACTATTGGAAATTGTGAGGGATGGAGAACAGATCCAATAAGGAATAGATGTAACAGGTAGTCCATGCTCTCAGCAGTAAACGAGAGCCATTGTGTTCTTGGTCCAGCGGTCACAACCTGCAGGCAAACATCTCGCTCTGGTCAGCTTGCCTCCCCCACACACCTGCCCCGGGCTGGGGGTTTCAGTCCCCGTCCTTGGGAGGAGCAGAGGGGCCTTTTCACACGGGGGCTCCATGTCTCACTCCTTGCTGGAGGAGCAGAGGGGCCTTTTCACATGGGGGTTCCATGTCTCACTCCTTGATGGAGGAGCAGAGGGGCCTTTTCACACGGGGGTTTCAGTCCCAGTCCTTGGGAGGAGCAGAGGGGCCTTTTCGCATGGGGGTTCCGTGTCTCACTCCTTGATGGAGGAGCAGAGGGGCCTTTTCACATGGGGGTTTCAGTCCCAGTCCTTGATGGAGAGGCTCCTCACATCTCAGTCTGTCTGTCACGGTGGTTGTAAAACAGGTGAGGGTCTTCTGTGGGGAACTCAGGAGAAGCCCAGCCAGGCCGAGAGAGGTGGGACAGCTCCCAGGGCTGCTGTTGCAAACGGGGCACGGTGCCCCCTTCTCGGCACACAGCAAACAACACCCGTGAAAACAATAAATTAACGCTGCGCTCTCAGGTCCCAGGGCCTTTGGCGTGGGACTTTCTCCTTCAGAGCCAGGGATTCCCCATGGTAGGGGGGGGTCTTCTCTTCAGTGGTCCCCATGAGGATGGTGAGGGAGGTGAGGGGAAGCTCAGACTCTCACCCCGCGCCCCGGGCAGGGCGTTCGCGGAGCGGCTGGCGCAGTTCGGGCACGCTGAGAGCGAGGAGCCGCGGCGGCAGGCGCACGCGGCGCTGGACAGGGTCACCCGCGCCTGCGGCCACCTCCTCACCCGGCGGCTCTTCGAGGAGCTCAAGGTGACACCGGGGGGACAGCCAGGGGCGTGGGGAGGAGGTTTGGGGGCATCGGGTTGGTGACAACTGCGGGATGTGGTGGCCGTTGTTGGGTTGGGTTGGGTTGGGTTGGGTTGGGTTGGCTTGGCTTGGCTTGGGTTGGGTTGGGTTGGGTTGGCTTGGTTTGGCTTGGCTTGGCTTGGCTTGAGTTGGGTTGGGTTGGGTTGGGTTGGGTTGGGTTGGACTGGGTTGGACTGGGTTGGACTGGGTTGGGTCGGGTTGGGTTGAATTGAGTTGGGTTGGACTGGGTTGGGTTGGGTTGGGTTTGGTTGAGTTGGGTTGGTGACACCTCTGGGACACGGTGGCCATCATCAGGTGACAACTGTGGTGGCCATCATCAGGTGTCGGGTTGGTGACACCTCTGGGACATCATTGGGTGCTGTTGGTGACACTCATGGGACATGGTGGCCATGACTGGGTGCTGAGTCGGGTGACAATTATGGGACATGGTGGCCATCATCAGGTGACAATTGTGGGACATCAGGTGACAACTGTGGCGGCCATCACTGGGTGTTGGGTTGGTGACACCCATGGGACATCACTGGGTGTTGGGTTGGTGACAATCGTGGGACGTGGTGGCCATCACTGGGCGTTGGGTTGGGCTGGTGACACCCATGGGACACGGTGCCCACCATCACCGGTGCCACCACCGGGTGCCAACCCAGGTGCCACCCGTGGTGACGTCCCCGTGTCCCCCCCAGCCCCACTTTGGGAAGCTGATGAAGCGCAAGTGGCTGACGAGCTCGGACGCCTTCGACACCATCGTGATGCTCATCACCGGCTTCGCGCAGACCCTGCGGCCGCTGCACCCCGAGCCACACCAGGTGTGACACCGGGGGACACCTGGGGGACATCAGGGGTTGGGTGACAGCTGGGGCGCACCGTGCCTTTGTTGAGTGGCACCCAATGGGCACGGTGCCACCATTGGGTGATGCCCTGGGTGACACCGTGGGCACAGTGACCACACCAGGGGTGGCTCTAGGTGACACCACGGGCACGGTGGCCACACTTGGTCCTGCCCTGCAGGTGCGGTGACACCACTGGGTGCTGCCCCAGGTGGCACCATGGGCGCAGTGGCTGCAGTGCCATCACCAGGTGTGGCTCCAGCTGGGCACGGTGACCTCACCAGGTGCTGCCCCAGGTGACACCACAGGTGTGTGGTGCCGTCACTGGGTGCTGCTCCATGTCACACCATGGGCACGATGACCACAGTGCCACCTCTGGGTGACACCGAGGGCACAGTGACCTCACCAGGTGTGCCCCAGGTGGTGACACCTTTCTCCCGTGCCAGGTGCTGGTCAGCGAGCTGCACCGCCGCGTGCTCATCGAGTGGGCACGGTGTCCGCAGTGCCATCACTGAGTGTGGCTCTGGGTGACGCCATGGTCACAGTGACCTCACCAGGTGTGCCCCAGGTGGTGACACCTTTCTCCCGTGCCAGGTGCTGGTCAGCGAGCTGCACCGCCGCGTGCTCATCGAGTACGTGCGGCCGCTGCTGCAGGGGCGCCTGGTGTGCGCCTCGGCCAAGGCGCGCGCCCCGCGTGGCCGCACGGCTCGGGGACGAGGCCCGGCAGCTCCGGGAGCTCTTCACGCGCCTGGTGAGGCCACCCGGGACCACCGGAGGGGTGGGAGGGGGACACCCAGGGCACACGGGTGGCTTGGGATGGGTGGCACCTGTGGGTGACACCCATGGACATCGTTGGGCACCCATGGACATCGTTGGGTTGGGTGACACCCATGGGACGTTAATGGGTTGGGATGGGTGGCGCCTGTGGGGCGTTGGTGGGTGTTGGGATGGGTGACACCCATGGGACATCGCCGGGTGTTGGGTGACACCCATGGGCCATTGTTGGCTTGAGTGGCACCCATGGGACATGGCTGGGTCTTGGCTGACCCCCCTGGCCGTGGCGGCCACCGCCGGTCACCGAGGTGTCCCCAACGTCCCCCAGGACTCGGCGTCGCCCTGGCTGGACTCGGTGGTGCCGCGGCTGCGGGAGCTGCTGGTGCTGGAGGACACGGCCGCGCTGCAGATGGAGGTGGGGGCCCTGGCCAGGGACTTCCCCGACGTGCGGTAGGTGCGGGGACACCCCGGGGGTGGCACTGGGGTGACACCAGGGTGACACGGACGGGGGTGACACGGACGGGGGTGACACCAAGGGAGCCCCGCGGGGGTGACACAACCGAGGGCGGCACCGCGGCAGTGGCACCGCCGGGGGTGACACAGGCGCGGGTGACACCGCGGGGCTGCCACACCCTTCCCGCCACCCCCGGTGGCCCCGGGCAGGACGCGGCGCTCCCGCGGGGGGACCCGAGCGGGGCTTGGACCGGACGCGGCCTCTCCGGCCCTTCCCGGCAGCTCCCGCCCCGTTCCCCCCGCCGGGAAACGGCCCCGGCCGAGCGCCAAGGGCCCCTCCCCTGTCCCGGTGCCGGGGTCCCGGGGGAACCGGGGACACGCGTGGGGACACCGGGGGATGGGGACAGGGATGGGGACAGGGATGGGGACAGGGGGGTTAACACCAGTTTAACCCATCACGGGGGATTTTGGGAGGTTTAACACCAGTTTAACCCATCAGGAGGGAATTTGGGGGGTTTAACACCAGTTTAACCCATCAGGAGGGAATTTGGGGGGTTTAACACCAGTTTAACCCATCACGGGGGATTTTGGGAGGTTTAACACCAGTTTAACCTATCACGGGGGAATTTGGGGGGTTTAACACCAGTTTAACCCATCAGGAGGGAATTTGGGGGGTTTAACACCAGTTTAACCCATCAGGAGGGACTGGGACGGGTTAAGCCTGTGCAGGGCTCACCCCTGCCCCAAAGTCCGCGCCCACCGGGGCTTGGGGGGGTTTTGTCACCGCTGACCCCCGGTGCTGTCCCCTCATTGTCCCCTCATTGTCCCCGCAGGCGCAGACACGTGGCCGCGCTGCTGGACGCGCGGGGGCTGCGGGCTCAGGGCCCCCGCCGGGAGATCCTGGGGGTGCTGCAGGATTTGGAGGGGTCGGAACCGGAACCGGGGCCCCCCCGGTACCGAACGTTCTTCGCCGAGCTGGCGGCGCCGCGCCCCGTGCGCTGCCTCCCGTTCCAGCTGCGCCTCCCGCGCCTCCCGCGCCGCAGCCCCGCCAGGACCCCCCCGTGACGGCCCCCGGGGTGGGGACGCCGCGAATCCCCTCGTCCCAGTTCGTCCCAGCTCGTCCCAGCTCGTCCCAGTTCGTCCCAGTTCGTCCCAGCTCGTCCCAGTTCGCCCCAGTGTCTAAATGACGCTGTAAATTAATGGCGGTGTTGTCGTTCTTGGGGACACTGTGGGGACAAGGGGACAGGGTGGGGACATCCCCCGGGGTGGGGACACCACGAATGTGAGCGAGTCCCCCTCCCCAGTTCGTCCCAGTTCGCCCCAGTTCGCCCCAGTTCGCCCCAGTGTGTAAATGACGCTGTAAATTAACGGCGGTGTTGTCGTTCTTGGGGACACCTTGGGGACAAGGGGACACCTTGGGGACAATTCCCCCCCGCGTCCCTTCCCGGGTGTCCCGTCGGGCTCGGGGACAGCCCTGGGGACCCTTCGGGCTCTGGTGTCACACCGGGGGGAGGGGACACCGAGGCCACCACCGCCACCGCCCGGGTGTGTCCCCAGCCTTGTCCCGGGTCAGGAATAAATCGGGATCCGGGCAGGAAGAGGCGACAGCGGCGACCGCTAAAAATAACCAAAATAACCGGGCCCGAGGGCGGGACCGGGCCCGAGGGCGGGAGCGGGGCCGGGGGGCACCGGGTCAGCCCCGGCCCGGCGGCGGCGGCGGAAGCGGCAGCGGCGGGAAAGGAACCGGGGGCGCCGGACAGGGGGGACGGGGGGGGGACAGCGTGGGGACGCTCTGGGGACAAATTGGGGGGCAAACAAACTGGGAGAGAATCCCAAAAACTGGGAGAGAATCCCAAAAAACTGGGAGAGAATCCCAAAAACTGGGAGAGAATCCCAAAAAACTGGGAAGAGATCTCCCAAACTGGGAAAAGACTCCCCAAACTGGGAGAGAATCCCATAAAATGGGAGAGAATCCCAAAAACTGGGAAAGGAGTCCCCAAACTGGGAAATGCACCCCCCAAACTGGGAAAGGATCCCCCAAATTGGGAGAGGATTCCACAAACTGGGAGAGAATCCCATAAACTGGGAAAGGATCCCCCAAACTGGGCGAGAATCCACACCGGACTGGGAAAGGATCTCCCAAACTGGGCGAGAATGGACACCAAACTGGGAAATGCTCCCCCCAAACTGGGAAATGCCCCCCCCAAACTGGGAGCACCCCCCCCTTCAGTTTCTCTCCCCGCGCTCCCCCTGGCGGTCACTGGCGGAACTGCAGGCGAGCAGGGGGCGTGGTTTGAGGAGGGCGCGGCCTCAATTACCCCCATTTTTCGTTGATTGGCAGGTGGGTGGGGCAACGGGGCGACGTCCCCTCTGTCCCCGTGTCCCCACGATCGTGTCCCCACGAGCTCCGTGTCCCCATTGTGCCCCTGTCCCCTCTGTTCCCGCTGTCCCCATGTCCCCACGATCGTGTCCCCGTGTCCCCTCTGTCCCCATTGTCCCCTCTGTCTCCGTGTCCCCACGAGCTCCGTGTCCCCACGAGCTCCATGTCCCCTCTATCCCCGTGTCCCCTCTGTCCCCACCCCCCCTCAGCGACCCCCTCCCCAAATCTCCCCCCCTCACCCCAAAATCTCCCCCATTCCCCAAAAACGCCTCGGGAGCCGCGGGAGCCGCTGGAAGCTTTTATTGGCCACGTTTGGGGGAGGGGGGGACGAGCGCGGACCGGGGGAGGGGGCGACCCCCGAGGGGGGAGGGGGCGCGACCCCCGGGGTGGGCACGAACACGGCACGAACAATAATTATCCTCGTTATAATTAATAATAAAAAATTAAACATCTCCCGCGCAACAAAAATAGATTTATATACCGGGGGGGAGGGAGGGGAGGGGGCGGAGCCAAGGCCAAGCGAGGAGAGGGGGGAGGGGACAGGTGAGGGGACAGGCGGGACACGAGGCCACACCTGGAGGTGGCACCTGGATGGGGACACCTGGAGGGGGCACCTGGAGGGGTCACCTGGAGGTCCAGGGACCCCCTGAAAGGGACACGGAGGTGACAAAGTGACACCTCCGAGCAGGGGGGGACCCCAAAGGGACACCTGGAGAATGTGGAGGTGGCTCCTGAAGCTCCTCAGGGGGACACGGAGGTGACAAAGGGGACACGGAGGTGACCAAGTGCCACCTGCCCCCGTTCACAATGCGAGGAGCGAGGGAGAGCTCAGGCAGTCCGAGGAGGAGGAGGTGACAAAGTGGGAGTTGACACCTGGAGGTGGCACCTGGAGGCGCAGGGACCTCCTTGAGGGGGGGACACGGAGGTGACCTGGAGGTGTCACCTGGAGGAGTCACCTGGAGGGAACACCTGGAGGCGCAGGGACCTCCTCGAGGGGGGACACGGAGGTGACAAATGACACCTGGAGAGGGGGGAGGTGGCCCCTGGAGCCCCTCGAGGGGGACATGGAGGTGACAAAGTGGGAGGTGACCTGGAAGGGTCACCTGGAGGTGCAGGGACCTCCTTGAGGGGGGACACAGAGGTCACCTGGAGGTGGCACCTGGAGGGGGGACAGGGACCACCTCAAGGCCCAAGGGGACACGCGGAGGTGACCAAGGGGACACGCGGAGGTGACCAAGTGCCACCTCGCCCCGTTCACAACGCGAGGAGCGAGGGAGAGCTCAGGCAGTCCGAGGAGGAGGAGGACGAGGAAGAGGAGGAGGAGGAGCAGCCCCGGTGGAGGTGACCTGGAGGGGTCACCTCGAGGGGGACAGGGAACCCCCCGAGCGGGGGACACACGGAGGTGACCGAGGGGACGCACGGAGGTGACCAAGTGCCACCTGCCCCGTTCACAACGCGAGGAGCGAGGGGGAGCTCAGGCAGTCCGAGGAGGAGGAGGAGGAGCCCCGGTGGTCGCCGCTGCCGCCGCCGCCGCCGCTCCGCTGCTGGTGCGAGGCTCCGCACGAGGAGGAGGAGGAGGAGGAGGCTCCCTCTGGGTGGGGGGACACAAACGCGGGGGGGGTCGCGTTAGGGGGTCCCCAGCAGGCGGGGAAGGGACCCTGCGGGAGGAGGAACAACGGCAGCGGCGACAGCGGGGACAGCGGAGCCTTGCCCGGGCTGCTCACCTCGGAGGAGACGGGGACGGTGACGGGGACAGGGGCCACCATGGCGGCGGCGGCGGCGGCGGCGGCGGCGGTGGTGGCGCCGCCGATGTCCTCGAAGGGGACCTTGCAGGCGGGAGCGTGGGCCACCAGCACGAACTCCAGGCGCTCCTTCTCCTTGCGCAGCTCGGCGATCTCCGACTCCAGCTCGGCCTTCTCCTCCTCCAGCTGGTCCGTCTCCTGCGGGGACAGCCACGTCAGGGGCACGGCGGTGTCACCAGGGGTGCCACCAGCTGGCACCCGGGGTTGTTGTGGCCCTCCCGTGGCCCTGGGTCTCTGTCTGTCCATCCCTGAGTGTCCCCAAGTGTCCCTGAGTGTCCCCAAGTGTCGCTGTCCCCTCCTATGTCCCTGCGTGTCTGTCTGGGTCTCTGTCCGTCCATCCCTGAGTGTCCCCAAGTCTGGGGACAGCGCCACCAGAGACCTGGCAGTGTCCAGGTGACACCTACAGGTGTCCCCCCACGTGGCGCCCGGGGTCGTTGTGGCCGTCCTGTGTCCCTGTGTGTCTGTCTGGGTCTCTGGGTGTCCCTAAGTCTGGGGACAGCGCCATCACCCACTCAGGGATGTCCCCGAGTGTCCCCAGGGGTCGTTGAGGCTTTCCCGTGTCTCTCTGAGTGTTGCCAGGGTCTTTGTCGCCCTCCTGTGGCCCTCCCGTGTCACTGCGTGTCTGTCCGGGTCTCTGTTGTCCCTCCCTGGGTGTCCCCACGGTCGTTGTCGCCCTCCTGTGGCCGTCCCCTGTCACTGCGTGTCCATCCAGGTCTCTGCGTGTCCCCAAGCCTGGGGACAGCGCCATCACCCACTCAGGGATGTCCCCAAGTGTCCCTGAGTGTCCCCAGGGTCGTTGTGTCCCTCCTGTGTCTGTCTGGGCCTCTGTCCGGCCATCCCTGAGTGTCCCCTCGGATGTCCCCAAACTTGGGGACATCCCTCAGGCTCCTCCTACGTCCCTAAGTTTCCGTCTGCCCCCTCCTTTGTCCCCTTGTCCCCACGGATGGCACTGTCCTCGTCCTGTCCCCTCGGATGTCCCCAGCTCAGGGGACATCTCTGGGTGTCCATCTGTCCCCACGGATGGCATTGTCCGTGTCCATCTGTCCCCAAGCCTGGGCACATCTCTTGGTGTCCGTCTGTCCCCTCTGGTGTCCCCAGCTCTCAGGGGTGCCACTGTCGCCCTCTGTCCCCTCTGGTGTCCCCAAATCTTGGGGGACATCAACTCCAAGGACATCGCCACCATCACTGGGGACACCTGATGTCCCCTCCTGATGTCCCCAAATGTCCCCAACTCTGAGGACATCGCCACCATCACTGGTGACACCTCTGTCCCCATCTCCCTCTGCGGCCGCGTCCTGCGGGCCCTTGGGGACAACGCCACCCCCTGGCAGTTATTACTGTCGTGATAATGTCCTGATAATGTCGCGATATTGTTGCGATAGTGTCACTCAAATGCCACCCCCTGGCAGTGATTGCCGTCGCAATAGTGTCCCCATAATGTTGTGATAATGTCCCGATAGTGTCACGATATTGTCGCGATAGTGTCGCGATAGCGTCACTCAAATGCCGCCCCTTGGCGGTGATTGATGTCGCAACAATGTCGCGATAGTGTTGCGATAGTGTCCCCATAATGTCGCAACAATGTCGCGATAGTGTTGCGATAGTGTCCCCATAATGTCGTGATGATGTCACGATAGTGTCGCGATAGTGTCACTCAAATGCCGCCCCCTGGCGGTGACTGATGTCACGACAATGTCGCGATAGTGTCCCCATAATGTCGCGATAGTGCCGTCACTCACCGCCTGCAGCCGGTCCGTCAGCTCGCGGCGCCGGTTGCGACATTTGGCCGCCGCCAGTTTGTTCCGCTCCCGCCGCACGCGGCGCTTCTCCTCCTCCTCAGGGGTCAGCTGTGGGGACAGGGGACAGCAGCGTCACCCTGATGTCACCCTGATGCCACCCTGATGCCACCCAGTGTCACCCGGCGTCACCCAGTGTCGCCTCTGTCACCCTCTGCGAGCCCCTGGCCCCAAAATCCCACTGGCTGCACCCAAAATCCCGCTGGGGTCATGGGCGCGGGGGAGGTCAGCGAGAGTGGTGTCCCCAAGGTGCCACCACCTGGAGCGTCCCTCAGCGGGTTCCTGCTGTCCCCAGATTGCCTCCATGTCCCCAAGGTGCCACCACCTGGAGCGTCCCTCAGCGGGTTCCTGCTGTCCCCAGATTGCCTCCATGTCCCCAAGGTGCCACCGCCTGGGGTGGCCCCAATCTCCTGCCTCTCCTCATGTCCCCAAGGTGCCACCACCTGAGCTGTCCCTGAGGCTCCTGCTGCTCACGCTGTCCCCAAGGTGCCACCAAGAGCGGTGTCCCTGAGGTGCCACCACCTGTCTGTCCTTCAATCTCCTTCCGCTTCCACTTTGACAGCCCCAAACTCCCCCTGCCACACCCCCAAAGTGCCACCACCCCTCTGTCCCCCGTCCCTTTGTCCTCTCTCACCATCTCCTCTGTCCCCCTGGGTCCCCCTGTCTGTCCCCTGTCCCCCTGTCTGTCCCCCCTGTCTGTCCCCTGTCCCTCTGTCCCCCTGTCTGTCCCCTCTCACCATCTCCTCTGTCCCCCCTGTCCCTCTGTCTGTCCCCTGTCCCTCTGTCCCCTCTCACTGTCTCCTCCATCCCCTCTGTCCTCCTGTCCCCCTGTCTGTCCCCCCTGTTTGTCCCTTGTCCCTCTGTCCCCTCTCACCGTCTCCTCCTGTCCCTCTGTCCCCCTGTCTGTCCCCCTGTCTGTCCCCCGTCCCTCTGTCCCCTCTCACCGTCTCCTCCATCCTCCTGTCCCTCTGTCCCTCTGTCCCCTGTCCCCCTGTCCCCCCGTCCCCTCTCACCGTCTCTTCCCGGCCCCGCCGCGCCCTCGCCCGGGGGGCTCTGCCGGGGGTCGGTCCCGGTGGTCCCGCGAAGCTCCCGCCGCCCATGCCGGGGGTGCCGTAGCTGGGCCCGGGCAGCTCGTAGGGGTCCAGGGGAGGAGGGGGCGGCGGCGGCGGCTGCGGCGGCTGCTGGGCCATGGGAGCCCCCGGGGCCACCGAGGAGATGAGCGTGGGCTGCACCAGCCACTGCAGGTCCTGGCTGGTGGTGATGGCCGTCACCGTGGGCACGAAGGAGCCGGGCATGTCCCCCAGGGCGCTGCACTCCTGGGGGGACACGGGGGACACGGTTAGAGGGGTGGGGGACACGGGGGACACGGTTAGAGGGGTGGGGGACATGGGGGACACGGGTTAGAGCAGTGACACCGCTGGGGACACGGGGGGACACAGGGGGACACGGTTAGAGGGGTGGGGGACATGGGGGACACGGGGGGACACCGGTTAGAGCGGTGACACTGCTGGGGACACGGGGGGACATGGGGGGACACGGGGGGACACGGGGGGTCACGGGTTAGAGGGGTGCGGGACACGGAGGGACACGGTTAGAGGGGTGACACTGCTGGGGACACAGGGGGACACGGTCAGAGCGGTGACACCGCTGGGGACACGGTTAGAGGGGTGGGGGACACGGTTAGAGGGGTGGGGGACACAGGGGGACACGGGGGGACATGAGGGGACACGGGTTAGAGAGGCGACACCGCGGGGGACACAGAGGGACACGGGGGGACACGGGTTAGAGAGGTGACACCACCGCTGGGGACACAGGGGGACATGAGAGGACACAGGGGGACACGGTCAGAGCGGTGACACCGCTGGGGACACCCCAGTCCTCCCCCGGCTCTGGGATGTGACATCGTGGTGTCCCTGTCACCCACTGGTGACACAGTTGTGTCCCTGTCACCCCAATCGGAGGGTCCCTGACACCCAAAGGTGACGCTCTCATGTCCCTGTGACCCAAGGGTGACATCCCCGTGTCCGTGTCACCTCAGTCCGAGTGTCCCCCCTGTCCCTGTCACCCCCAGGGACCCCCAAACCCATCCCGGGCTGGGGGAGGGGTCTGGGGGTCGCCCCCTCCCCAAAATCCGAGCCCTGGAGGGGACCCCGAGGGTCCCCAGGTGACATCGCCACCCCCAGGTGACACCGCCGCCCTTTGGGGCCGCCCCCGAGCCCCCCAAAATTCGCGAGGGGGCGTGGCCAAGGCTCAGAGGGGGCGTGGCCAAGGCTCAGAGGGGGCGCGCCCATCCCCACCAGTGGGCGTGGCCTAACCCCCGTTCCACGCGCTCATATGGGCGCGGTTTCACCGCAAAGTGGGCGTGCCCGCCCCGAGGGGGCGTGTCCATCTCCCGTCTCCCTTGGCAACGCCTCGCGCCGCAGCGGGGGGAGAGGGGGGGAGGGGACACCCCAAAAATAACCCGCGCGCTCTGCGTGCGTGCGTGCCGCGTCACCGCCGCCCGCGACGTCACTGCGCGCGGCTTACGCACGGCCCCGCCCCCCCGGTGCTCCTCTTCTTCATCCTCCCCCCCTTCCCCGCCTCATCCTCCTCATCCCCATCATCGTCCTCACGCCCCCGGTTCCTCCCGGCGCTCACCTGAGCGGCCCCGGCGGCGGCCGCGGGGCTCCCGAAGGAGTCGAGCGGCGACAGGTACTGGGACTCGGCCGAGGGCGACGAGCTGCACCGGGAGCCCGAGTCGTAATCCCCGGGGAACCCCTGGAACATGGCCCCGGGGCCGCGGGGGCCGCCCCGCCGCCACAAAGCTGCGGGGTCACGCCGTTAGCACCGGCGGCATCACGGGGCGGGGGGAGGCTCGGCTCGGTCAGGCTCCGGTCAGGCTCCGGTGGGTGTCCGGTGTGCCCCGCTTAAGCGGTTGTGAGCTCCGGTGTGTCCGTGCCGTGCTCCGGTTGTGCGCTAAAAGCTCCGGTACCGTCCGCTGTAAGCTCCGGTTGTCCGCTAAAAGCTCTGCTTTTCGCTATAAGCTCCGGTACCGTCCGTGCCGAGCTCCGGTTTGCCGGTACCGAGCGCCGCCGTGTCCGGTCGTGCCCTAAAAGCTCCGCTACCCTCCGTGCCAAGCTCCGGTTATCCGCTATAAGCTCCGGTACCGTCCGTGCCCAGCTCCGGTTGTCCGCTATAATCTCCGGTACCGTCCGTTCCGATCTCCGGTTGTTCCCTATAATCTCCGGTACCGTCCGTTCCGATCTCCGGCTCTCCGTTCCAAAACCCCCCTCACACGCTCCGCTCCATCCGTGACCGGCTCCGGTGGCTCCGCTACAGAAAAACTCCCGGCGGTTTCCCAAAAGTTGTCCCGGTACAAAAAAAATCTCCCTTTCCGTTACGAGCCCCGGTAAATCCGTGCCGAGCTCCGGTAAATCCCCTCGGCCAGGCCCCGCTGACGCTCCCGCCGCTCGCCCCGGTGTCCGGTTTTATGAATGAACGGCTCACGGCAGCCCCGCCGCTTTATACGGCGGGGCCACGCCCCCCTCCGCTGACGTCACGCCCCCCTCCGCCGCCGTTCGGGGACCCCCGGGACCCCCCCGGGCCCACCGAGACCCCGCGGGCTCCGCGCGTTCGGTGCCCGCCGCCGTTTGAGGCTCCCGGAGGCGCCGCCGCCGTTAAGAGGCTCCGGGGAGGGCCGGGAACGGGGGGGATCCCCTGGCCCCGCCCCCCCGGAGTTCCTGTGACGCAATTAGCCATATATGGGCTTGTCTGGAGTGTTTGTTTGGTATCCTAGCAATGACGTCACAGGGATTCCCTCCGCCGCCGCCGCCGCCGCCGCCGCCGCCGCCGCCGCCGCCGCCGCCGCCCGCCCGTATTAATAGAAACGGGAACGGCCGCCCGTTCTAGAAACGGCCCGAACCCTCTGGGCTGGCGGCACCGGGAACTCCCCCGGGAGACCCCCGGGACCCCCGACCCACCGGAGATCCCCGGTCCCCCCTCCTCCGGTGCATCTCCCGGTGACCTCCCGGGACCTCCGGTGTCCTCGAGGAGCCCCCGGGACCTCCGGTAACCCCCGGGAACTCCCCATGAGACCCGCGGGACCCCCCCCACCCACCGGGGATCCCCGGTATCTCCCTCTGGTGACCTCACGGGATCCCCGCGACCCCGACCGGGATCTCCCGGTGTCCCCGGGACCTTTGGCAACCCCGGGAACTCCCCCATGAGACCCCCGGGACTCCCCGCTCCCTCCGGGATCTCCCCGGTTCCGCCATCGGGACCCCCGGGACCTCCGGTAACACTCGGGACCTCCGGTAGCCCCCGGGACATCCCCCGGGAGACCCCCGGGATCCCCCGCGGTACCACCGGGAGCTCTCCCGGTAACGCCTCGGGACCCCCCCCGGTACCGTCTCCGGCTGGAGCCGTTCCCGGTACCGGGGAGGTCCCGGGATGGGGGTCTGGGGGTCCCGGTTCGGGGGTTCCGGGGGTCCCGGTTCACGAGTTCCGGTTCGGGGGTCCGCGGGGTCCGAGGGGTCCCGGTTCGGGGGTCCCGGAGGGTCCCGGGATGGGGGTCTGGGGTCCAGGTTTGGGGGGTCCCGGTCCGGGGGTCCCTGAGGGTCGCGGGGGGTCCCGGTTTGGGGGTCCCGGGGGTCCCGGTTCGTGGTTCCCGAGGGCCCCGGTGGGTCCCGGTCCCTCCGCAGCCCCGGGCCGGGCACCGGGCGCTGATGTCACCGGCGGGAACCGGCGCTGAGTCACGGCGGCACCGTGGGCACCCCCGGGGGGGGCGGTTCCCACGCCCTCGGGGTCATTCATTCATCCGAGCCGGCCCCGCCCCCTCCGGTGCCACCGGGCGGCGGCTGCGGTGGCTCCCGGTCCCGGCATAGCCCGGGGGTCCCGTTACCGGTGTCCCGGGGGTCTCGGGGAACCCAGTCCCGTTACCGGGGGTCCCTGTCCCGTTATCGGGGGTTCCAGTCGGTTCTCGGGGGTCCCGGGGTCCTTGCCCGGTTCCCAGGATCCCGGGGCTCCCAATCCCATTCCCAGGAGTCCGAGTCGGTTCTCAGGGGTCCCAGCCCCGTTTCCGGGGGTCCCAGCCCCGTTCCCGGTGTCCCGGGGGTCCCGGTCAGCTCTCGGGGGTCCCTGTCCCGTTCCCGGGGGTCCTGGCCGGTTCTCGTTGGTCCCAGCCCCGTTCCCGGTGTCCCGGGAGTCCCAGTCACGTTCCCGGGGATCCCGGTCAGCTTTCGGGAGTCTCAGCCCCGTTCCGAGGGTCCCGGGGGTCCGTGTTCCGTTCCGGGGGTCCCCGCCCGGTTTCCTTGGGTCCCGCTCTCGTCCCGGTGTCCCGGGGGTCCCATCCCGGTGTCCCGGGGGTCCCTGCCCGGTTCCCGGTGTCCCGGGGTCCCATCCCGGTGTCCCGGGGGTCCCATCCCGGTGTCCCGGGGGTCCCTGCCCGGTTCCCGGTGTCCCGGGGTCCCATCCCGGTGTCCCGGGGGTCCCTGCCCGGTGTTCCGGGGGTCCCAGCCCGGTTCTCGGTGTCCCGGGGGTCCCATCCCGGTGTCCCGGGGGTCCCAGCCCGGTTCCCGGTGTCCCGGGGGTCCCTCTCGGCTCTCGGGGGTCCCGGGGGTCCCTGTCCGGTTCCCGGGGTTTTTCCCCGCCCCATTTTCCCGCGGTTCCCTCTCCCGTCCCGGTAAACACCGCGCGGGTCTCCCCGGTTACGGCGTTCCCCGCCGGTGACGTCACCACGTCCGGCGTCCCGTGTTTACGTCGCGCGGCAACGGCCGCGGCCATGGCAACGGGGGCGTGGCATTGGCCGGGCCGGCGACCAATCGGGACGGGGCAGGGGCGGGGTCAAAACGGGGCGGGGCTTGGGGCGCCGCGTTCGCGCGCTTTTTGCGGGGCGGGGGGGGGAATTTGGGGACATTTGGGTGACACTGGGAAATTTGGGACATTTTGGGGAAAATTTGGGACATTGGGGACACATTGGGGACACATTGGGGACATTGGGGGGGAATCTGGGGACATTGGGGGGGTATGGGGACATTGGGGGGAAATTTGGGAGATTTAGGGAAATTTGGGGACATTGGGGGGAAATTTTGGGAAAATTGGGGACACTGGGGACATTGGGGGAACTGGGGACATTGGGGACATTTGGGACATTATGGGAAAACTTGGGACACTGGGGAACATTTGGGGACATTGGGGGGACATTGTCACGTTGTCACGCGTTTGTCACAAGAGTTTTTATTAAATTATCGCCCCTCCCCCCGCACGGATGAGGGGGGGGGAGGGGAAAAAAGGACATGAAGGGGGCGTGGCCTCCTCCCATGGCCACGCCCCCCTTCCTGGATGTCACCTCGGGGTGGGGACAGCGGTGTCACTGCGGCTTCACTTTGGCACTTGGCAGCTTGGCCAGGACCCTGCAGGGACATTCGGGGACATGAGGGACATTGGGGACACTGGGGGGGACATTGGGGGGACATTGGGGACACTCACCTGGCTCGCAGGTGGCTCAGGTGGCTCCGGGCCAGGCTCAGGTGTTGATCGATCTGGGCCTGAGGGGGACATTGGGGGACATTTGGGGACAGGCAGAAGTGTCACCGCCCCCGCTGTGGTGGCAGTGCCAGCCTCGGGTGTCCCCTCGGGTGTCACCTGGGGCGTGGCCGTACCTGGTGGCGCCGGTAGAGCATGGGGAAGGTGAAGGCGCTGATGACACCTGGGCAGGGGGACATTGTGGGGACACCTGGGGTCACCAACTGCCCCCAACCGTCCCCAGGGTCCCCTCACCATCCCCCCATTGTCCCCAATGTCCCCAATGTCCCAAATCCCCCCAATGTCCCCCGATGTCCCCAATCCCCCCAATGTCCCCAATGTCCCCCCAATGTCCCCAATGTCCCCCAATGTCCCCCCAATGTCCCCGATGTCCCTGAGGTCCCCGATGTCCCCAATGGCCCAAATGTCCCCCCAATGTCCCCAATCCCCCTGAATGTCCCCAATGTCTCCCAATCCCCCCAATGTCTCCCCAATGTCCCCCAATCCCCCCAATGTCCTCAATGTGCCCCCAATGTCCCTGATGTCCCCCAATGTCTCCCCAATGTCCCCCAGTGTCCCCAATGTCCCCAATCCCCCCAATGTCCCCGATGTCCCCAATGTCCCCGATGTCCCCAAATGTCCCCAATCCCCCCGAATGTCCCCGATGTCCCCGATGTCCCCGATGTCCCCAATCCCCCCGAATGTCCCCGATGTCCCCGATGTCCCCTCTCGTACCCGCTGCCAGCAGTGTCACCCCGTTGCAGGCGGCCCCCACGTAGGTCAGCAGGTAGAACAGGAAGGCGAACTGCGGCCACCACAGGTGACATTGTCACTGTCACCGTCACTGGCAGTGCCACCCTCAGCCCCCCCCTGTGTCCCCAGTGTCCCCAATGCCCTCAGTGTCCCCCATGTCCCCAAATGCCCCCCATGTCCCTCATGTTCCCAATGTCCCCTGAGTCCCCCGTGCCACCCATGTGTCCCCAATACCCCCTCAAGTGTCCCCAGTGTCCCCAATGTCCCTCCATGTCCCCAGTGCCCTCAGTGTCCCCTACACCCCCTTGTGTCCGCAGCGTCCCAAATGTCCCCATGGCCCTCATGTTCCCAACGTCCCCAAAACCCCCCAAATGTCCCCTGTGCCCCCCAATGTCCCCAATGTCACCACGTCCCCAGTGTCCCTCATGTCCCGAATTTTTCCGCGTGCCCCCAATGTCCCCAATGTCCCCACAGCCCCCATTCCCCCCAATGTCCCCCAATGTCCCTCATGTCCCCAATGTCCCTCATGTCCCCAATGCCCCCATTGCCCCCAATGCCCCCATTGCTCCCCGTGTCCCCCGGTGTCCCCCGCTGTCACCTTGAGGGACTCGGGGACGCTGTGCACCAGGAAGAGTCGGGTGAGGGTGCGGGCGGCCGCCACCGTGTGCCGGGCCAGGCACCGCGCCCAGCGCTGCTGCTGCTCCTCACTGAGGGGCTCTGTCCTCCTGGGGACATGGGGACAGCATTGGGGACATGGGGACAGAGTTGGGGACAGCCACGGGGACAGGGGACAGCCCTGGGGACAGCCACGGGGACAGGGGACAGCATTGGGGACATGGGGACAGCCCTGGGGGACAGCCACAGGGACAGGGGACAGCCCTGGGGGACAGCACTGGGGACATGGGGACAGCCCTGGGGACAGCATTGGGGACATGGGGACAGCATTGGGGACATGGGGACAGCCCTGGGGACAGCCACGGGGACATGGGGACAGCCACGGGGACAGCCACAGGGACATGGGGACAGCGTTGGGGACATGGGGACAGCCCTGAGGGACAGCACTGGGGACATGGGGACAGCCCTGGGGGACAGCCACAGGGACAGGGCTCAGCCCTGGGGACAGCCACGGGGACAGGGACACACGAGGAAGAGAGGGGACAGACATGAGGACAGTGATGGGGACAGAAGGACAGGGACAGGGGGACAGGGATGGGGACATGGGGACAGTCATGGCGACAGGGACAAGAGAGAGGGACAGGGACAGTGAGGACAGGGGGACAGTGATGGGGACACAGACAGGGACAGAGGGACAGCGTCATGGGGACAGCAATGGGGACAGGGACAATGACAGGTGCGGTGTCATGGGACAGGGACAGACGGACAGAGGGACAGAGGGACAGAGCCAGGGGACAGGGACAGGCACAGGGATGGGGACAAAGCCACCAGGGCCACCCTGATCTCCCTGGGGGTGGCAGGGAGGGGACACTGGGGGTGTCACTCGCCTGAGGGGACACTGGGGTGACACGGGGTGGGAGGGGACGCTCAGGTGTCACTCACCTGAGGGGACACTGGGGGTGACACGGGGTGGGAGGGGACACTCAGGTGTCACTCACCTGGCCGGGCTCTCTGTGGTCGATGGCCTCAGCGCCCTCAGGGCCACCTGGCGCAGGCGCAGGGGGACGGTGACAGCCAGCACGGCCAGCGCCGCGTGTGCCACCACGGCGACGGCGCTGAAGCGGGACAGGGAGCCCAGCAACACCAGTGACACCAGCAAGGCCAGCGCCGAGCGGTGGGGGACGCGCCAGTACAGCAGCTCCCACACTGGGGACAATGGGGACGCCACCAGTGTCACCCCAGGGCCCCTTCAGAGGCTCCCCCAGTTCCTTACTGGAGCCCCCAGTGCTCCCAGTGCCACCCCAGTTCCCTTCCCAGTGCCACCCCAGTGCTCCCCCAGTTCCTTACTGGAGCTCCCAGTGTCCCCCAGTGCCACCCCAGTGCTCCCCCAGTTCCATTCCCAGTGCTCCCAGTGCCACCCCAGTGCTCCCCCAGTTCCTTACTGGAGCCCCCAGTGCTCCCAGTGCTCCCAGTGTCACCCCAGTGCTCCCCCAGTTCCTTACTGGAGCCCCCAGTGCTCCCAGTGCCACCCCCGTGCTCCCAGTGCCACCCCAGTGCTCCCAGTGTCCCCCAGTTCCATTCCCAGTGCCACCCCAGTTCCTTACTGGAGCTCCCAGTGCTCCCAGTGCCACCCCAGTTCCTTACTGGAGCTCCCAGTGCTCCAAGTGCCACCCCAGTGCTCCCCCAGTTCCTTACTGGAGCTCCCAGTGCTCCCAGTGCCACCCCAGTGCTCCCCCAGTTCCTTACTGGAGCTCCCAGTGCTCCCAGTGCCACCCCAGTGCTCCCCCAGTTCCATTCCCAGTGCTCCCAGTGCCACCCCCGTGCTCCCAGTGCCACCCCAGTGCTTCCCCGGTTCCCTTCCCAGTGCCCCGAGTGTCCCCCAGTGCCACCCCAGTGCTCCCAGTTTCTTCCAATCCCCCCCAGTCCCTCCCAGTCCCCTCCCAGTTGCTCCCAGTGCCCTCCCAGAACCCCCCCCAGTGGTTCCCAGTCCCTCCCAGTTGCTCCCAGTGTTCTCCCAATGATTCCCAGTTCCCCCCAAGTCCCTCCCAGTCCCTCCCAGTCCCCCCCAGTCCGCACCAGTTCCCTCCATGTCTCGCTCGGTGCCTCCCGGGGTTATTTTGGGGGGTCCCGGGTTATTTTTGGGGGGGGGGTCACCCCCTATTTTTAACCCTCCAATGGCGCCGGGGGGCGGCGCGACCCCTCCCCGAAACCGGAGCCCCCCCGCGCTCCCATTGGCCGCTCACCCTGTCCGTCGGCGCCCGCCGCGCTCGCTGATTGGTCGGCGGGAGGAGGGGGCGGGGCCGAGGCTCGGGGGGGCTCCGCGGGGGCGCCCCCTGGCGGGGGGGAGGGGAGCGGCGCGGGGGATGCTGGGAGGGGGAAAATGGGGGGGTCTGGGGGTCCCAAATATCCGCAAATACCCCCAGGGGGTCCCAAATACCCCCAGGGACCCCCAAATGCCCCCTAGACCCCCCCAAATCTCCCCCCGAGACCCCCAAATCTACCCTGGGACCCCCAAATCTCTCCCCAGGGACCCCCCCCCAGATTTCCCCCAAATTCCCCCCCAGGAGCCCAAATTACGCCAGGGACCCCCAAATCAACCCCAGACCCCCCCAGGGACCCCCAGATTTCCCCCCAGGGACCTGAAATTACCCCGGGGACCCCCCCAGGGACCCCCAAATCTCCCCCAGATCTCCCCCAAATCCCCGAAATTCCCCCCAAAACCCCCCGGACCCACTCAATTACCCCAGGACCCCCCAAATCCCCCCCCAAATTCCCCCATCCTCACCCTTCCTCCCTGGGGTCTCTTCCTCCTCTTTCCTCCTCCTCCTCCTCCTCCTCGCCCCTCCCCCCCCGACCCCTCCTCGGACCGCCCCCATTTTGGGGGTGGGGGAGGGGCGGGTTCGGGCTCCCCCCGCTCCTTTTTTTTGGGGGGGGGGTCCCCGGGGGCCTTTTGGAGGGGGGAGGGGTCCGGCCCCCGAACGCCCCTCCCCCAGCGGGGCTCAGGCGTGGGGGAGGGGCGCGACCCCCTCCGAGGGGGGGGGTGGGGGGTCGCCCCTCCCCCCCGCCCCCCCCGAAGGCGATGTAGGAGAAGGTGAGCTCGTGGGGGGAGGGGCGGTCCCGGGGGGGCCCTTCCTCATCATCCTCATCATCCTCATCTTCCTCCTCCTCCTCCTCCTCCTCCTCGGGGGGCTCCTCCGGCAGCTCCGGGATAAGGGGGGGGGGGTCCTCGGGGCCGCCTAATGGGGGGGGGGGATCGGGGTAAATTTGGGGGCATTTGGGGTAAATTTGGGGGCATTTGGGGTAAATTTGGGGAGGTTTTGGGGGGGGGATCAGGGGTGGATTTGGGGTAAATTGGAGAGGGGTTTGGGGGGGATTTGGGGTGGGTTTGGGGGGGATTTGGGGAGGGGTTTTGGGGGGTTTTGGGGTCGTTTGGGGTGAATCGGCGGGGTTTAGGGTGCGTTTGGGGGATTTTGGGGGGGATTTTCGGGTAAATTGGGGGTTTTGGGTAAATGGGGGGGGGGATTTTGGGGTAAATTGGGGTGGATTTGGGGCAGGTTTGGCGTTAATTTGGGTGGGTTTAGGGTTCATTGGGAGATTTGGGGTAAATTTGGGGGGGTTTGGGGTGAGTTTGGGGTTCACTGGGGGGGTTCAGGAGTTTTGGGGTTCAGGGGTTTGGGGACCCTCCCATGCCCCCCTCCCCAAAAGCCGCGCCCGGGGGGGCTTTGGGTAAATTGGGCGGGTTTGGGGGTTTTGGGGGTGCTTTTGGGGTAAATTGGGGGGATTTTAGGGTAAATTTGGGGGGATTTTGGGGTGAATTTGGGGTGTGTTTTGGGGCTCCCGCTCACCCTCGGTGGAGTCCGGTGTGGTGGAGGCCGTGGACGGAGCCTCCTCTGGGGGAGGGGGGGGCACAGGGGGGGTCACGGGAGCCCCAAACTTGATCCGGGACCGCCCCCCCCGCACCCCCCGTGACCTCCCCGGTTTCTCCATCCCCGGTTCCTCCATCCCCGGTGCTCCCGTTCCCGGTGCTCCCCGTTCCCGGTTCCTCCATCCCCGGTGCTCCCGGTTCCGGTGCTCCCGGTGCCTCCAAGTCCCGGTTCCGCCATCCCCGGCGCCTCCCGGTACCGTGGCCCCGGGTATCTTTGTCCCCGGTGTTCCCGTCCCGGTTCCCGCGGTCCCGATCCCTCCCGGTAACTCCCGGTCCCCTCATCCCGGCCACTCCCAGTCCCGGTTCCTCCCGGTTCCCGCAGCTGCCGGTGCCTCCCGGTGCCTCCCGGTGCCGCCCCGATCCCCCAGTCCTCGTCCCGGTTCCCGGTACCGGATCCATCCCCATCCCGGTTCCCGGTACCGGATCCATCCCCGCTTCCCGGTGCTCCCATCCCCGTCCCGGTTCCCGGTACCGGATCCATCCCCATCCCGGTTCCCGGTACCGGATCCATCCCCGCTTCCCGGTGCTCCCATCCCCCGGCCACTCCCAATCCCTCCGTGCCCGGTTCCTCCCGGTTCCTCCCGGTTCCCCATCCCCGGCCGCTCCCGGTTCGCCGTTCCCCGGTACCTCCCGCATCCCGCGGCCCCTCCCCGTTCCCCGCGCCCGGTTCCCGATCCCCGATCCCCCATCCCCGGCTCCTCCCGGTGCCGCTCCCCGGTTCCCGGTGCCCGTTCCCGGTTCTCGGCCACTCCCGCATCCCGCAGCCCCTCCCCGCGCTCCGTTCCCGGTTCCCGGTCCCCCATCCCCGGCCCCTCCCGGTTCCCGGCCACTCCCGCATCCCCCGTTCCCGGTTCCCCATCCCCGGCCCCTCCCGGTGCCGCTCCCCGTACCCGGTCCCCAGTCCCCGATCTCCCATCCCCGGCCCTTCCCGGTTCCCGGTGCCGCTCCCCGGTCCCGGTTCCCGGTCCCTCATCCCCGATTCCGCCATCCCCGGCCCCTCCCGCTCCCCGGTGCCGCTCCCCGGTGCCGCTCCCCGGTTCCCGTTCCCGGTTCCCGGTTCCCGGTCCGTACTGCAGTGGGCGAAGCCCAGGACCTGCCCCATGGCGGCGGCCCCCGCATGGGGCTCCCGGTCGCCCCCGGGCCGGCCCCGCCGCCATCACGGAGCCGCCATCGCCGGTGAGCGCCGGGGCCGAGGCCACGCGCGGACACAAAGGGCGGCGGCGGCGGCGGCGGCGGCGGCGGCGGCGGCGGAGAGGGCGGGGCTGGGGGCGGGGCAGGGGCGGGGACGTAACGGAGAGGCGGGAATGGGGAACGGGAATGGGGAACGGGGACCGGGACCGGGAATGGGGAACGGGACCGGGAATGGGGACCGGGAACCGACAGTGGAGAGCCGGGAATGGGGAACGGGGACCGGGAATGGGGAACGGGAATGGGGACCGGGAATGGGGACCGGGAACCGGCACCGGGAACCGACAGTGGAGAGCCGGGGATGGGGAACCGGGACCGGGAACCGGGACCGGGAACCGGGACCGGGAACCGACAGGGGTAGCGGGAACCGGGAATGGGGAATCAACACCGGAGAGGCGGGAATGGGGAAGGGGAACCGGGAATGGGGAAGGGGGCACCGGGAACCGGGAATGGGGAATGGGGACCGGGATTTGGGACCGGGAACCGGCACCGGAGAGCCGGGGATGGGGAAGGGGCACTGGGAGTGGGGAACCGGCACCGGAAACCGGCACCGGGGCTCCCCGGTTCCCCGCGAAGTTCCCAGTAAATCCCAGTGCCCCCAGTCCCTCCCAGTGTCTCCCAGTAAATCCCAGTAACTCCCAGTAAATCCCAGTAACTCCCCCAGCACCTCCCTGACCTTCCCAGTGTCTCCCAGTAAATCCCAGTAACTCCCAGTAAATCCCAGTAACTCCCCCAGCACCTCCCTGACCTTCCCAGTGTCTCCCAGTAAATCCCAGTAACTCCCAGTAAATCCCAGTAACTCCCCCAGCACCTCCCTGACCTTCCCAGTGTCTCCCAGTAAATCCCAGTGCCCAGGACCGGAGAGTTCAGGGAGACACCGGGGAGACATTGGGAGGGCACTGGGAGTTACTGGGAGGGCACTGGGAGGGCACTGGGAGGGCACTGGGAGTTACTGGGAGTTACTGGGAGTTACTGGGAGGGCACTGGGAGTTACTGGGAGTTACTGGGGGGGCACTGGGAGTTACTGGGAGGGCACTGGGAGTTACTGGGGGGGCACTGGGAGTTACTGGGAGGCACTGGGGGGGCACTGGGAGGCACTGGGAGGGCACTGGGAGGCACTGGGAGTTACTGGGAGGGCACTGGGGGGGCACTGGACGTTACTGGTCCCGCGAGCCCCCCCCGGGGTCATTTCCCGGTCGCCGCCGCCGTTCCCGGGAGGGGCGGGGCCTGGGCCTGGCGGTGGGCGGGGCCATGCCCATGGGGGGGCGGGGCCTCTCGCCGGGACCGGCGGGTCCGGCCCCCCCCCCTCCCCCCGCCCGCTCCGCCGCCACCGGAAGGGCCCGGACCGGGCACGGCCGCCAGCATGAGGTGAAACGGGGCTCGGAACTGGGAGCACTGGGGGGGACTGGGAGCACTGGGGGGGGACTGGGAGCGACTGGGAGCGACTGGGGGGCACCGGGCACCGGAGCTGGGGGCACCGGCGGAAGCGTTAACGGGCACCGGGGAGCGGCACCGGGGGAACTGGGAGAGGGAACTGGGAGGAACTGGGAGTGACTGGGATCGGGACTGGGAGGAACTGGGGGGCACTGGGAGGGACTGGGAGAGACTGGGAGAGCCGGTAACGGGCAGCGGGCGGTACCGGGGGTGCCGGTAACGGGCGCCGGGGGGCAGGCGGGCGGCGCCGGGTAACGGGTGCTGGGAGAACTGGAAACGGTACTGGGAGCAACTGGGAGAACTGGAACCGGGGGGCTGCGGGGTACTGGGAGCGCTGGGAAGAGGGACTGGGAGCACTGGGAGCGCCGGGATCCGGAACTGGGAGCGCCGGGGGAAACCGGGAAGTGCACTGGGAGCACTGGGGGAACTGGGATCCGGAACTGGGAGCACTGGGGGGAACTGGGAATGGGCACTGGGAGCACTGGGAATACCGGGAATCGACACTGGGAGCACTGGGGGCACTGGGAGCGCTGAGAACTGGGACTGGGGGGTACTGGGAATCGACACTGGGAGCACTGGGATGGGTACTGGGGAGTAGTGGGAATTGATACTGGGAACTGGGCACTGGGACTGGGAGCACTGGGAGAGCTGGGATCCGGAACTGGGAGCACTGGGAGCGCTGGCAATTGGTACTGGAATGGATACTGGGAGCACTGGGAGCACTGGGAGAGCTGGGATCCGGAACTGGGAGCACTGGGAGCGCTGGCAATTGGTACTGGAATGGATACTGGGAGCACTGGGAGCACTGGGAGCACTGGGGAGAGCCGGGAACTGGGACTGGGAGCACTGGGAATTGATACTGGGAGCACTGGGAATAGCCGGGAGCTGGGATCAGGGGTACTGGGAGCACTGGGATGGGCTCTGGGGTAACTGGGATGGATACTGGGAGCACTGGGAGCACTGGGATGGGCACTGGGGTAACTGGGGTGGATACTGGGGATACTGGGAGCACTGGGATGGGCACTGGGGTAACTGGGGTGGATACTGGGGTTACTGGGAGCACTGGGATGGGCACTGGGGGTAACTGGGGGTGGACACTGGGGATACTGGGAGCACTGGGAGTGGGGGAGGGGCGGCCCCGGGGAGAGGAGGAAGGAAACGGGGGGGGGGGAGGGGGGGAGGTTTTGGGGTGTCCGGGGGGGCCCAGCCCCCAGTTTTGGGTTCCCAGCCCCTTTTTGAGGGTCCCAGCCCCGTTTATTTTTGGGGTTCCTTCCCCATTTTTGGGGTCGGAGCCCCTCCGGGTTGGTCCCCATCCCCATTTTTTGGGGTTCCCTCCCCCCATTTTGGGGTTCCCACCTCCATTTTTTTGGGGTTCCCTCCCCCCATTTTGGGGTTCCCTCCCCCCCTTTTTGGGGTTCCCTCTCCCCTTTTCGGGTTCCCATTTTTGGGGTCCCAGCCCCTCGGGGGTGGGATCCCCAATCTTGGGGGTGTCCCAGCTCCATTTTTTGGGTCTCCCTCTCCTCTTTTTGGGGGGTCCTACCCCCCCCCCCCCCCGCTTTTTTAAGGTTCCAGCCCCAATTTTTGGCTTCCCACCCCCGCTTTTTGGGGGTTTTCTCCCCGTTTTTGGGGTCGGAGCCCCCCCGGGGTGGGATCCCCAATATCAGGGGTGGGATCCCCAATCTCGGGGGGCTCTGACCCGGTGTCCCCCCCCCCTCCATTGAGTGGGTTCTGTGCAGCGCCAGGGCCGCGGTGCTGCTCTATGGGAGGGGTCCCAGCCCCATTTTTTGGGGGTTTTCCCTCCCCGTTTTTGGGATTCCACCCCCATTTTTTGGGGCTCCCCAGTCTCGGGGGGGCTCTGACCCGGTGTCCCCCCCCCAGCAGCGAGCGGGTTCTGTGCAGCACCAGGACCTCAGTGCTCCTCTATGGGAGGGCTCCCAGCCCCCAATTTTTGGGGTTTTCTCCCCGATTTTGGGATTCCACCCCCATTTTTGGGGCTCCCCAGTCTCGGGGGGGCTCTGACCCCCGGTGTCCCCCCGCCTCAGCAGCGCGAGCGGGTGCTGTGCAGCGCCAGGGGCCTCGGGTGCTGCTCTACGACGAGGCGCAGAAGCTCTGGGTGCCCGCGGGGGGGGTCCCCGGGGCCGGCGGGGCGGGGGCCGCCCCCTCCCCAGAACCCCCCCCAGCTGTGTCCAGCTGTTCCACCAGCCCGGCTCGCTCGGCTTCCGCCTGGTGGGGCGGCGCCTGGGGGCCCGAGCAGCAGGTGGGGGGCGCTGGAGTTTGGGGGGCACCTGGGGTGGGGTGGGGGGCGCCTTGGGAGGGGTTTTTGGGGGGCAGCTGGGGGATATTTGGGGGGATTTGGGGAAGGAATTTGGGCGGGCTGGGGGGGTATTTGGGGGTATCTGGGGGGGTTTGGGGGGCAGCTGGGGTGGGTTTGGGGGCATTTGGGGGTATTGGGGGGGGGGGGGGGTTTGGGGAGCACCTGGGGGCACCTGAGGGGGGCTTGGGAGGGGTTTGGGGGGGGCAGCTGGGGATATTTGGGGGTGGGCTGGGGGGGGTATTTTGGGGCACCTGGGGGGTATCTGGGGGGCACCTGGGGTACCTGGGTTGGGTTTGGGGGCACCTGGGGGGTATCTGGGGTGAGTTTGGGGGCACCTGGGGTACCTGGGGTGGGTTTGGGGGCACATGGGGGGTATCTGGGGTGAGTTTGGGGGGCACCTGGGGGTACCTGGGGTTGAGTTTGGGGGCCCATGGGGGGTATCTGGGGGGCACCTGGGGTACCTGGGGTGGGTTTGGGGGGCACGTGGGGTACCTGGGGTGGGTTTGGGGGCCCATGGGGGGTATCTGGGGGGGGCTTGGGGGGCACAGGGGGTGGGTTTGCGGGCATTTGGGGATATTGGTGGGGGGGTTTGGGGGGCACCTGAAGGGCTGGGGGGACACCGTGTCCCTCCCCCACCCCCCCCAGGTGGTCCCGAACTGCCCCTGACCCCCCCCCCAACCCCCCCAGGTGGTTCCTGAACTGCCCCCTGTCCCGGGGGCTCCGCTACAGCCAGGCCACGCCCCAGTTCCACCAGTGGCGCGAGGGGCGCCGGGTCTGGGGGCTCAGCTTCGCCTCCCCCCCCGAGGCCGCCCAGTTCGCCGCCCGCCGTGCTGAGGGCGCTGCAGGCGCTCGAGCAGGGTGAGGATGGCACCCCCAGACCCACCCGAGCCCCCGTGACACCCCCAGACCCTCCTGAGCCCCCGTGACACCCCCCAGACCCTCCTGAGCCCCTGTGACACCCCCAAGACCCACCTGAGTGCCTGTGACACCCCCAGACCCACCTGAGTCCCCGTGACACCCCCAGACCCTCCTGAGCCCTTGTGACACCCCCCAGACCCACCCGAGCCCCCCCGTGACACCCCCAGACCCTCCTGAGTCCCTGTGACACCCCCAGACCCACCTGAGCCCCCATGACACCCCCAGACCCTCCTGAGTCCCCTGTGACACCCCCAGGGTCCCCACAACACCCCCAGACCCTCCTGAGTCCCCGTGACACCCCCAGACCCACCTGAGCCCCCGTGACACCCCCAGACCCACCCGAGCCCCCATGGCACCCCCAGACCCTCCTGAGCCCCTGTGACACCCCCAGACCCACCTGAGCCCCCGTGACAACCCCCAGACCCACCCGAGCCCCCGTGACACCCCCAGACCCTCCTGAGCCCCCGTGACACCCCAGACCCACCTGAGCCCCCGTGACACCCCCAGACCCACCCGAGCCCCCTGAGCCCCCCCCATGTCACCCAATGTGCCGAGGGCACTGCAGGTGCTCGAGCAGGGTGAGGATGGGGGGGCTCGGACACCCCCAGGGCCCCCGTGACACCCCCAGACCCACCTGAGCCCCTGTGACACCCCCAGACCCCTCCTGAGCCCCTGTGACACCCCCAGACCCACCTGAGCCCCTGTGACACCCCCAGACCCACCTGAGTGCCTGTGACACCCCCAGGGCCCCTGTGACACCCCCAGACCCTCCTGAGTCCCTGTGACACCCCCAGACCCTCCTGAGCCCCCGTGACACCCCCAGACCCTCCTGAGCCCCTGTGACACCCCCAGACCCACCTGAGTCCCTGTGACACCCCCAGACCCTTGTGAGCCCCTGTGATACCCCCAGGGCCCCCGTGACACCCCCAGACCCCTCCTGAGCCCCTGTGGACACCCCCAGACCCTCCTGAGCCCCCCCATGTCACCCAATGTGCCGAGGGCGCTGCAGGCTCTCGAGATGGGGGGGACAGGGGGGTCCCAAATCCCCTGTGACACCCCCAGACTCCCCCCTGTGTTGCCCCTGGGCCCTGTGTGACCCCAAATCAACCCCCAGGTCCTCCCCAAAATCAGCCCCCAAAACTCCCCAAAAATCCCCCCCAAAATCAACCCAAAACCCCCCAAAATCAGCCCCAAAACCCCCCAAAATCAACCCCAAACCCCCCGAGAATCAACCCCCAAATTCAGCCACAAGTCCCTCCCAAATCAGTCCCCAAAATCCCGCCAAATCCATCACAAAATCCACTCCAAATCCCTTCCGAATCTCCCCCAAATCCAGCCATAAATCCCCTCAGAACCCCCAGATTTCGCCCCAAAACCAGCCCCAAATCCCACCCAAGCCAACCCCAGATCCACCCCAAATCTATCCCCAAATCCCCCCAAATCCATCCATAAAACCCCCCAAAATCAACCCAAACCAACACCCCAAACCCCCTCCCAAATTCATCCCCAGACCCCTCCAAATCCCCCCCCCAAATTCAGCCCTAAAACCCCACAAATTCCCCCCAAAATCCTGCAAAATCAGCCCCCAAATCCCCCAAATCCCTCCCAAATCAACCCCCAAAATCCATCCCCAAATCCACCCAAAATCCCCCCCAAATCCAACCATAAACCCCCCCAAAAATCCCCAAATCCCCCCAATGTCCCCCCCAGGGACCCCCTGGCCTGGCCGGACCCCGATGGCTCCGCCCCCCCTGAGCAGCCCGACAGGTGAGGGGGGGAACCCCAAATTCTGGAGGTGGGAACCCCAAATTTTGGGGTTATGGGAAGCCCCAAATTTTTGGGGGAACAACAAAATGTTAAGGCGGAGAACCGCAATTTTATTTTGGGGGCAAAACCCAAATTTTGAGGGGGAAAGCCCCAAATAGTAAGGGGGGGGGGGGAAACCCCAAATTTTTGTGGGGTGGGAACCCAGATTTTGGGGGCGGGAACCCCAAATTTTAAGGGCGGGGAACCTCAAATATTTGGAGGGCGTGGGAACCCAAATTTTGAGGGGAAACCCAAAATTTTGGCAAGGAGGAACCCCAAAATGTTGGGGTGGGAACCCAATTTTTTTCGGGGGAGGAAACCCCAAATTTTGAGGGGGAAATGGCAAATTTTTGAGCGGGGGGAACCCCCAAATTTTGGGGGGTGCTGACCCCTCCCCTCCCCCCCAGGCCGGTGATGGACGAGCCCGAGCGCCGCGGGACAGGTGAGGGGGGGGAGGGGCCCCAACACTGGCCCCGCCCCCCAATTTCCGTGACCCCGCCCCCTCTCATTTAACCCCGCCCCCTCCCCCAATTTTTTTCATTTCTTTCCCCCCCCAGGACCCCCGGCCGCCCCTCCCCCCCCGCCCCCGGGCCCTCCCCCCCCCCCCGGGGCCCCCTCCCCCCCCCGGGCCCCCTCCCCCACCCTCGGGGGTCCCCCCGGCCCCGCCCCTGCCGGGGGTGGGGGGAGGGGCGGGCTCGGAGGGGGGGGGAGGGGCCGGGGGGGGGGGCCCCGGGGGGGTCTCGGGGTTCGCGGCCCGCCATCGCGGGGGCCAAGCTCAGGAAAGTGGGGAAGGTGAGTGATCAATTAATTCAGTAATTAACTGGTAATTAGCTTTATTAATTTAATATTTATTACATGATAGTTTATAAATTAAATTTATTACATTAATTACATTTAATAATAAGGAGCGTTGTTGGGGGGGGTACCTCAAGGTGAGTGTAGGGGGGGAATAATTAATTAACTAATTAATTAATTGGTTGAAATATTTAATTTTTTTTTTTTTTAATTAATTAAATTGATTACATTAATTAAATAAACACGGAGGGGTGGGGTCCCTCAAGGTCAGTGTGTGGGGGGGGATAATTACTTAATAATAATTAATTAATTGAATTATTTGGTTATTTGGTTTAAAGAAACATTTATTAAATAATAATATCTTAAAAAATAAAATAAATTAATAAATTAATTTAATAAACAGCATGGGCGGGGTTCCTCAAGGTGAGTGTGGAGGGAATAATTAACTAATTAATTAATCAACAATGTGGGGTTGGAATTACTTGGGGTGGGTGGGTCCTTCAAGTTGAGCGTGGGAGGGGGAATTAATTAATTAACAGTGGGGAGGTAATTGATTAATTATTAAGAGGGTGGGGGTTAATGAATGGGGGTAAATCATTACTAATTACCTAATTAAGAGGGTAGGGGTTAATTAATAGGGTAATTAATTAATTAATAAATTGACTTATTTACAGCGTGAGGAGGGGTGATGAACAGGGGGGGCGGTCCCTCAAGGTGAACGGGTTAATTATTGATTCATTAATTAATCAACCGCCTGCCCCTTCCCCTCCCCCCCACCCCCCCCTTCTCCAGGACGAGCCCCCGAGCGGGGGCGTGGCCGGGGCTGGGGGCGGGGCTGCCCCTCCCCCTGCCCAAAAATCGGAGCTTGCCCCCCCCGTGGCGGGGGGGGGGCTGATGGAGGAGATGAGCGCCATGCTGGCCCGCAGGTGAGGGGGGGGGGGGGCGAGGGAGGGCTCCCCAAATTTGAGGAGGGGTCCCCAAAAATCCCCACGCTGACCCCTCCCCTCCTCCTCCCCCCCCACAGGAGAAAAGCCACGGAAGCGCCAAAAAAGGATGATGACGTCACCACCGTCAGTACAACCTCCCCCCCCCGCTTTTCCTAATTTGGGGAGGGGTCTTTGCCCCCCTCCCCCCCTTCCCCCCCCCAATCCCATTTTTTGTCCTCCCCCCTCCCCAGGAAGAGGCGGAGCCCGGCGAGAGGAGGGCGGGGCCGGCGCCGGGTGAGCGCGGCGGACTCCAACCCCCAGCATGCACCGCGGTGGGGGCGCGCGGTCCGGGCACGGTGCGGGCGCGCGGGGCACGCTGGGAGTTGTAGTTCTTAAAGGGACCGCGGCGGATTTTTAGTTTTTGGGGAGGGGGCTTTTTTTGGGGGGGGGGGGTTTAAGGGTCCAACCCCTGCCCCCTCACCCCCTTTTTTTAACCCCTCAGAGCCCGTCCGGAAGCCGTGGGAAAAATCCAGCTCCACCTTGCCCAGGTGAGTTTTGGGTTTTTTGGTGTTTTTTTTTTGGGAGCGGGGGGGGAGGTCCTCAAATTAATTAATTTATTTTATTTAATTATCTCCGCCTCCACCTGCAGGATGAAATCGGCTGTTCCAGCCCCCCCTGAGCCCCACAGTGAGCTGGACCTGGAGCGGTTCAAACTGGTACCGGTTTGGGGGGGGAATCCAGAATTTGGGGAGGGGTCTGGGGGGGTTCTGGGGGTATCCCAAAAATTCGAGAGCGGTTTGGGGAGGTTTTGGTGTGTCCCAAATTGGGGAGGGGTCTCTGACACGCTCCCCACCCCCCCCCCAGGAGCTGCTGGAGGAATTTCGGCGGGAGCTGCACAAAATGAAGGAGGAGATCATCCAAGGTGGGGGAGGGGCTCTGGCTGAATTTGGGGAGGGGTCCCGGTGGGAGGAGGGGTCACAATGACCCCCCCCCCCCACGACCCCTCCCCCAATTTTTTTTTTTTTCTTTTCTGCCCCTCCCCCAGTGCTGCTGACGGAGCTGAGGAAGCCAAACAGGCCCTGACCCCTCCCCCCACCAAGCCACGCCCACAATTTGGGGGGAGGGGAGGGTCGAACCCCTCCCCCTCAACCCCTCCCCCACCCCCATCTCACCCCCCATTCACCCTGGGGGAGGGGTCCCCGCGCCCCTCCCCCCACCCCAGGCTGTGCCTTACCCAAAGGGGGAGGGGTTTCAGGCTCCTCCCCCCCTCACTAATTAATTATTAATTATTAATTAGTGCCACACTGTGCCCCTTCCCCCCACATCACTGTGGGGGAGGGGGGAAAGGGGAGCCCCTCCCCCCACTTTCCCCCTTTCCCCCACCCCCCACTTTGGGGCGTTTTTTAAGTCAGTTTTGGGTTTTTCACTTTATTTGCACCAATAAACGGTTTTTTTACAGGAAATATTTAATTAAAATGTAAATTTATTTCTGGGTTCGGGGGGGTGGAGCTTGAATGGCCACGCCCACATTCCTCGGAGGAAGCTCCGCCCACTCCACCGAGCCATCAAGCACCGGCCACCAATCACGGCGCTCCTCCTGAGGCCCAGAGAAACAGGGGGAAACTGAGGCACAGGAAAGGGAAACTGAGGCACAGGGAATGGGGAATGGGGAGGGAAACTGAGGCACAGAAAACATCTCCAGCCAGTGGTAAACTGAGGCACAAAAAAGGGAATGACAGGGAAACTGAGGCACAGATAAAGGGGGAGAAAACTCCAGCCAGTGGTAAACTGAGGCACGGAGAAAAAAAAAAACCATAAAGGTTAAATTAAAAATAAAAATTAAGTAAAAATAAAAATTAAAAAAATAAAATAAAAAGCTTTAAAAATAGAAAAATTAAAAATAAAAATTAAATAAAAAATAAAATAAAAAGCTTTAAAAATAGCAAAATTAAAAATAAAGGTTAAAAATGAAATTTAAAAAAAAATTAAAAATTAATAAATAACAGAACCAAAAACTGTAAAGTGCTCTAAAGTACCGTAAAAGTTCCATAAAAGGAAGTGCTGAAATGCATGACTGTCGTAAAAATTGTTCTTAAAATATAAAATAAAAAGCTTTAAAAATAGAAAAATTAAAAATGAAAAGTTAAAAAATAAAATAAAAAACATAAAATAAATGCTTTTAAAAATAGAAAAGCTAAAATTAAAATTAAATTAAAACATTAAAAAATAAAATAAATGCTTTAAAAATAGAAAAAACAAAAAATTAAATAAAAAATAATATTAAAAAAATAAAATAAATGCTTTTCAAAATAGAAAAATTAAAAAAATTTAAAAATAATAGTAAAAAATAAAATAAATGCTTTAAAAATAGAAAAATTAAATAAAATAAAAAATTAAAAATATAAACTAAATGCTTTAAAAATAGAAAAATAAAAAATAAAAATCAAATAGAAAATAAAATTAAAAAATAAAAAAAAAAATTAAAAAAATAAAATAAATGCTTTAAAAATAGAAAAATTTAAAATAGGAATTGAATACAAAATAAAATAAAAAAAACAAAATAAATGCTTTAAAAACAGAAAAATTAAAAATAAATGAAAAAATAAAATTAAAAAACCAGAATAAATGCTTTAAAAATAGAAAAATAAAAAACAAAAAATAAAAAATAAAATTAAAAAATAAAATAAAAAGCTTTAAAAATAAAAATAAAAAATAAAATAAAATAAATAAAATTAATTAAAAATAATAAAAAACAAAATAAAATCGCTAAAGTGCTGTAAAGTACCATAAAAGTTCCAAAAAAGGTGGTGCCGAAATGCACGACTGTCGTAAAAGTGTCGCAAAAAGCGGCACTGCCGTAAAGCGCAACTGTCGTAAAAGGTGCCGTAAAGCGCGACTGTCGTAAAACTGCCGTAAAGTGCGACTGTCGTAAAAGCTGCCGTAAAGCGCGACTGTCGTAAAAGGTGCCGTAAAGTGCGACTGTCGTAAAAGTGTCGTAAAAGCTGCCGTAAAGCGCGACTGTCGTAAAAAGCTGCCGTAAAGCGCGGACTGTCGCAAAAGGTGCCGTAAAGCGCGACTGTCGTAAAAGCTGCCGTAAAGCAGAACTGTCGTAAAAGGGGTCGTAAAGCGCGACTGTCGCAAAAGCTGCCGTAAAGCGCGACTGTCGTAAAAGGTGCCGTAAAGCGCGACTGTCGCAAAACTGTCGTAAAAGGTGCCGTAAAGCGCGACTGCCGCAAAACTGTCGTAAAAGGTGCCGTAAAGCGCGGATGTCGTAAAAGGCGCCGTAAAGCGCGACTGTCGTAAAAGGTGTCGTAAAGCGCGACTGTCGTAAAAGGCGCCGTAAAAGCAGAACTGTCGTAAAAGGTGCCGTAAAGCGCGGATGTCGTAAAAGGCGCCGTAAAGTGCGACTGCCGTAAAGCACACCTTTTACGATAGTGTCGCTTTACGGCAGTTTTACGACAGTCGCGCTTTACGGCAGGACCTTTTATGGAACTTTTACGGTACTTTACAGCAACTGTACGGATTTTTTTTTTTTTATTAATTTTTAATTAATTTTATTTTTTTAATTTAAATTTTTTTTAATATTTATTTTTAATTTTTCTATATTTAAAGCTTTTTATTTTATTGTTTTAATTTTTTTTTAATTTTTAGTTTTAATTTTTTCTATTTTTAAAGCATTTTTAATTTTTTATTTTTATTTTTATCTTAATTTTTAGTTTTGATTTTTTTTATTTTTAAAGCATTTATTTCATTTTTAAATTTTATTTATTATTTAATTTTTAGTTTTCATTTTTTTATTTATAAACTATTTTATTTTTTTTTTTTTTATTTCATTTTTATTTTTGCTTTATCTATTTTTAAAGTATTTATTTTTTATTTTTTATTTAATTTTTAGTTTTGATTTTTTTATTTTTAAACCATTTATTTTATTTTTTATTTTTTATTTAATTTTTATTTTTGATTTTTCTATTTTTAAATATTTTCATTTTGTTTTTAATTTTATTTTTATTTAATTTTTATTTTTAATTTTGTTATTTTTAAACTATTTATTTTATTTTTTAATTTTATTTTTTATTTCATTTTTAATTTTTGCTTTTTTTATTTTTAATTTTTTTTTAATTTTTATTTTTGATTTTTTTTATTTTTAAAGCATTTGTTTTATTTTTTATTTTATTTTTATTTTTGATCTTTCTATTTTTAAAGCTTTTTTAAAATTTTTTTTTACTTTTTAGGTTTAGTTTTTTTTTATTTTTAAAGCATTTATTTTATTTTTTATTTTTTATTTATTTTTAGTTTTGATGTTTCTATTTTTAAAGGATTTCTTTTATTTTTTTATTTTCATTTTTATTTAATTTTTAGTTTTAATTTTTCTATTTTTAAAGCATTTATTTTTTTAATTTTTTTTACTTTTTAGTTTTAATTTTTCTATTTTTAAAGCTTTTTATTTTTTAAATTTTCTATTTTATTTGTTTTTTTATTTTCCCATTTTTAGAGCATTTATTTTATTTTAATTTTTTTTTTTAATTTTTATTTTTAATTTTTCTATTTATAAAGCTTTTTATTTTATTTATTTGGTTCTGTCCAGACCAACTCAAGCTGGTGATTGTGGTGGTGTTTGAGGGTCTTGCAGTTACCCCGATTAATAGGTAGAGATGATGTTTGGAGGCCACAGTGTTACAGGTAGGGGTTCAACAGTTTTTTAGGGTCTTTCAGGTGATTTTTCAGGGATTTTTAGGGATATTTAGGGCTTTTTTCGCAGGAGTTTTTTAGGAATTCTCTGGAAATGTTTAGGATACCTTTAGGGCTTTTTCAGGGCTTTTAAAATAATTTTTAGGGTGTTTTAATGACTATAATTTTTAGGGTGTTTTAATGACTGTCTTACCGGGGCGCCCCAGCCACCCAAGGCACCCCGTGCCGGTGCTGCGGCGCTCCAGCCCAGCCTCCTGTCAGCGCCGCCCGTGGTCGCTTCCCCTCTCCTGCCGCAGCCGCTGCATGACGGGCCGAGCCGCGCCTTCCCCACCGCACTCTCCCGCTACAGAGCTGCTGGATGGTGTGGCTTCGCCACCTCCTGCAACCACGGACGTCCCGGTGTTTCCTTCCACGGCCGTGGCCACCGTTCCCGCAGCTCCGCCGCCTCCCGCAACCCCCCCGGCCCGCACGCCGCCATGATGACTGCCCACGCTGCCGTAGTGACGGAACCCACGCATGCGCAGTTTGCTACAACCCCAGCACCTGTGATATCACTCCATGCCACCTCATCGAACCACAGCGCTGCTTCCGGGGATCAGCCGCACGCATGCGCAGTTCTATCTCCACGGCCCCGCCGCTACCCCCCCACTGCTTTTCACCGCAGCTCTGGTACAGCCCGGTCCCGGTTCCGAGCCGCTGCGTGCCGCTGTCCGGCCACAGCCGGCAATCCCTGTGCCCTGTCACGCCGCTTCCGCCGCCACCGGGTCCGTACACGGCACCACAGCAGGCGAAAACGGCAGCGGCTTGCGTGTATCCTTCCGCGCCTCTGCCGCTGCCGGAACTTGAGGAGGGCACGGCCGCATCACCGAGAGATCCCTCCGCGGTGTGTAACCCTTCACCAGGCAACGAGGAGGAGGAGGAGGAGGAGGAGGCTGGAACACGACAGCTGCTTTAATAAATACAGGGCAGGCAGATAAATCCCATTCCGTGTTTGAGTGGAATTTATGCATCGTGTATGAGGTGTGTGAATATGCAACAGGTTATTGCTTTTAAGGGTTAATCCTCTGTTAACGTGGGGTCCCTAATCGGGCTCGTGCTGCCAGAAAAAGGCACCCGGACGCCCGAAACTCTTTGTTTTTGTTGTCTCAAATCGTCCAATTCAAATTGTCCAAATTATCATTGCTCTAATTGTTATTACTATTTTTGTACTATTTTTGTAACCATTTATAACGGTTTTATGCAGACCTTCGTGCCCTGGTCATGGCAGAGCTGACCCCTCCTGATGATCAGAGTGAAAATCGAGTGAATTTACCTTTTTTTTTTCGGGGGGAGGAGGGTCCCCAAATTAATTATTTTCATTATTTTATTATTTTATTATTATTATTTTATTATTCCCCCCCCCCCCCCCAGGATGAAATCGGGCCGTTCCAGCCCCCCCCGAGCCCCAGAATGGGCTGGACCTGGAGCGGCTCAAACTGGAACCCGGTGTGGGGGGGGTCTGGGAATTTGGGGAGGGGTCTGGGATTTGGGGGGGGTCTGGGATTTTGGGGAGGGGTCTGGGATTTTGGGGAGGGGTCCGGGATTTTGAGGAGGAGTCTGGAAATTTGGGGAGGGGTCTGGGAATTTGGGGAGGAGTCTGGGATTTGGGGTCTCCCAAATTTGGGGAGGGGTCTCTGACGCAAGACAGGGGGAGGGGTTTCAAGCCCCTCCCCTCTCGCTAATTAATTATTAACAATTATTAATTATTAAATATTAATTAGTGCCACACTGTGCCCCTCCCCCCCATCACCGTGGGGGAGGGGGGGGAAGGGGAGCCCCTCCCCCCCCACTTTTCCCCCTCCCCCCCTCCCCCACTTTGGGGCTTTTTTTAAGTCAGTTTTGGGTTTTTCACTTTATTCGCACCAATAAACGTTTTCTTTTCACGGGAAAAAAATTTAAATAAAAATGTAAATTTTTTGTGCATTGGGGGCGGGGCTTGAGTTACCACGCCCCCGACCCTCAGAGGAAGCCACGCCCATTCCACAGACCAATCAGCACCCGCCCGCCAATCACGGCGCTCCTCCTCATCCGGGCCCCGCCCCATCGCCTTGGCCACGCCCACTGCAAAATGACCATGTCCAAACTGGCCACGCCCACCCCCTGCATGAGCCCCGCCCTTAAAGGCACAGAACAGAACACACAGAGCAGCTTTAATGAGGGGGGGCGTGGCCTGTCACAGCAGGGGCGTGGCCTGTCACAGCAGAGGCATGGCCTATCACAGCAGGGGCGTGTCCAGATCCAGTGGGGGCGTGTCCAGATCCAGCAGCGCCATTCACAGCTTTGGTGGGGGCGTGGCCTGAGCTTCCATGGGCGTGTCCAACCCCATTCTGGGCGTGGCCTGAGCTTCCATGGGCGTGTCCAGCTCCACCTGGGCATGGCCTGAGCTTTCATGGGCGTGGCCTGAGCTTCCATGGGCGTGTCCAGCTCCACCCTGGCGTGGCTTGAGGTTCCCTGGGCGTTTCCATCCCTTCCAGCCATGCCCCGCCCCTCCCTGGACTTGTCCCTGGTTATGCCCCCGCCCCTCCCTGGGTGTGTCCCTCTCCACCCTGCTCAAGCCCCGCCCCTCCCTGGTGAAGCCCCGCCCCTCCCCGCCCCCGCAGCGCCTCCAGGTCCCTCGGAGCTCGTCCAGGTGCTCCCGGAGCTCCTGCAGGGCCCGGTCCAGGTGCTCCTCGCGCCGCCGGCCCTGCCCCGCCTGCCGCAGGTACTCCAGGTAGAGGCAGAGCCCGCCCACGCCGAACACCAGCGCCTCCCCCAGCAGCTCCGCCCCCAGCTCGGCCGCCGCCTCCTCGTTCAGGGGCTTCACCGAGGCCCCCCGGAAGCCCAGGAGCCGCATCTTGGTCCGCATCTCCACCCAGTGGTAAACTGAGGCACGGGAGAGAAAATGGGGAAACTGAGGCACGAGATAGGGAAACTGAGGCACAGGGAATGGGGAACATCTCCACCCAGTGGTAAACTGAGGCACGGGAGAGAAACAGGGGGGAAACTGAGGCACGGGAGAGAAAATGGGGGAAACTGAGGCACGGGAGAGAAACGGGAATGAGAGGGAAACTGAGGCATGGGAGAGAAAATGGGGGAAACTGTGGCACAGGAATGGGGGAGCATCTCCACCCAGTGGTAAACTGAGGCACGGGAGAGAAAATGGGGGAAACTGAGGCACGGGAGAGGGGGAGTGGTGGTAAATCCCCCCCAAAATCAAGCCCCAAATTGCCCCAAATCAGCCCCCAGATCCCCCCAAAATCAACCCCCAAACCTCCCCAAATCTGCCCCCAGATCCCCCCCAAATGCAGATACAAATTCTCCCCAGATCCCCCTAAAATCCAGCTACAAATCCCCCCAAATCCAGCTAAAAATTCCCCCCAAATTCAGCCACAAATCCCCCCAAATCCAGCTACAAATCCTCCAAATTCAGCCATAAATTCCCTCCAAATTCAGCCACAAATTCCCCCAAATCCAACCATAAATTCCCCCCAAACCAACCCCCAGATCCCCCCAAAATCAATCCCCAGATCCAATCATAAATCCCCCCCAAATCCAGGCACAAATCCCCCCAAATTCAGCCATAAATTCCCCCAAAATCCAGGTACAAATCCCCCCAAATTCAGCCATAAATTCCCTCCAAATTCAGCCACAAATTCCCCCAAATTCAGCCATAAATCCCCCCCAAAATCAGTTAAAAATTCCCCCAAATCCAGGCACAAATCCCCCCAAATTCAGCCATAAATTCCCTCCAAATCCAGCTAAAAATTCCCCCAAATTCAGCCATAAATCCCCCCAAACCAACCCCAGATCCCTCCAAAATCAAACCCCGGATCTCCCCCTAACAGAGCCACAAATCCCCCCATAAAACAACCAGAAATCCCCCATAAATTCAACCACAAATCCCCCATAAAACAACCACAAATCCCCCACAAATCCCCCCATAAAACAACCAGAAATCCCCCATAAATTCAGCCACAAATCCCCCATAAATTCAGCCACAAATCCCCCATAAATTCAGCCACAAATCCCCGATAAAACAACCACAAATCCCCCATAAATTCAGCCACAAATCCCCCATTAAACAACCAGAAATCCCCATAAATTCAACCACGAATCCCCCCATAAAACAACCAGAAATCCCCCATAAATTCAGCCACAAATCCCCCATAAAACAACCACAAATCCCCCATAAATTCAGCCACGAATCCCCCCCAAACCGACCCCTGATCACCCCAAATCAAGCCATAAATTCCCCCCAAATTCACCCATAAATTCCCCCCCCAGAACCCCCCAAAATCCACCCCCAGACCCCCACAGCAGCGTCCCCCCAATGTCCCCAATGTCCCCAAAGGGTCCCAGACCGCTCCCACCCCCAAACCGTGCCCAGAGCGGGGTCCCCCCCATATCCCCAGGTGTGCCCAGGTGTGCCCAGGTGTCCCAGGTGTGTCCAGGTGTGTCCCCAGGTGTGCTCAGGTGTCCCCAGGTGTCCCCAAACCCCCGTGACCCCTCCAGGGGGGGGTCCCAGGCCAATCCCACCCCCCAAAGCCGAACCAGGACAGGGTCCCCCCCAGTCCTGCCGGTGTCCCCAGGTGTGCCCAGGTGTCCCCAAGTGTCCCCCAGGTGTGTCCCCAGGTGCCCCCAGGTGTCCCCAGGCCCCCTTGACCCCTGTCCTTCCCTCCAGGGAGGGGTCCCAGGCCGATCCCACCCCCAACCCGTGCCCGTGTCCGGTTCCCCCCCAGCCCAGGTGTGTCCCCAGGTGTGTCCCCGTGTCCCCAGGTGTGTCCCCAGCCCAGGTGTGCCCAGGTGTCCCCAAACCCCCGTGACCCCTCCCAGGGGAGGGTCCCAGGCCAATCCCACCCCCCAAAGCCGAACCAGGACAGGGTCCCCAAGTGTCCCCAAGTGTCCCCAAGTGTCCCCAGGTGTGCCCAGGTGTCCCCAGGTGTCCCCAGGTGTCCCCAGGCCCCCTTGACCCCTGTCCTTCCCTCCCAGGGGGGGTCCCAGGCCAATCCCACCCCCCAAAGCCGAACCGGGACGGGGTCCCCCCATGTCCCCAGGTGTCCCCAGGTGTGCCCAGGTGTCCCCACACCCCAAGGAGGGGGTCCCAGGCCAATCCCACCCCCCAAAGCCGAACCAGGACAGGTGCCCCCATATCCCCAGGTGTCCCAGGTGTCCCCAGGCCCCCTTGACCCCTGTCCTTCCCCTCCCAGGCCAATCCCACCCCCCAAAGCCGCACCAGGACAGGGTCCCCCCATATCCCCAGGTGTCCCCAGGTGTCCCCAAACCCCCGTGACCCCTCCCACCCCTCCCAGGGAGGGTCCCAGGCCAATCCCAGCCCCACCCGTGCCCCGCGTCCGGTTCCCCCCAGCCCAGGTGTGTTCCAGGTGTGTCCCCGTGTCCCCAGGTGTGTCCCCAGGTGTCCCCAGGCCCCCTTGACCCCTGTCCTTCCCTCCAGGGAGGGGTCCAGGCCAATCCCAGCCCCAACCCGTGCCCGTGTCCGGTTCCCCCCAGCCCAGGTGTGTCCCCAGGTGTGTTCCCAGGTGTGCCCCCAGGTGTCCCAGGTGCGCGGCACTCACGCTGCGCGGGGGGCAGGCAGATGTAGGTGCGGAAGAAGGGCGACGCGCGCGCCCCCGCCTTGATGCGCGCGGCCAGGGGGCGGCTGAGCTGGCGCGCGCCCAGCGTCAGCAGCTTGGCCAGCGGGAACGCGCCCGCCACCATCCTCCCGGCCCCGCGCGCGGAGATGACGTCACGGGAGGCGACGGGGGGGGCGGGGAGAGTCGGGACACGCCCACCCTCCCTCCTTCCGTCCTTCCCCCCCCCCCACCTTTGTCTTGGTTGGCGCCCCCTGGCGGACGAGCGGACCCCGCTTGGATGAGGACACGCCCCCTTGGCTCGCGGACACGCCCCTTTTTAAAGCTGGGATACGCCCCCTTGTGTTGGGGATACGCCCCCCCCCTTGTTTTGGGGACACACCCACACGATTTGGGGGTGTCGGGGGACGCCTGGGGGACACCTGGACCCCCATGGTGACATTGAGACCCCCATAGGTGACACTGGGTGACACCTGGGACCCCTCTGGTGACACTGGGGGACCCCTGGGTGACACTGAGACCCCCATGGGTGACACTGAGACCCCCATGGGTGACACTGGGTGACACCTGGGACCACTCTGGTGACACTGGGGGACACTGGGTGACACTGAGACCCCCATGGGTGACACTGAACCCCCCCCAGGTGACACTGGGTGACATCGGGACCCTCCTGAGACCCCCATGGGTGACACCGGGTGACACCAAGACTCCTCTGGTGACATTGAGACCCCCGTGGGTGACACTGAGACCCCCCTGGTGACACCGGGTGACACCGGGACCCCCCTGGTGGCACCGAGGCCCCTCCCAGGGGCGGTCCCCGCCCCCGCCGGTGCCACCCGGGGGTGACAGAGCCACGCGCGGAGCCGGCGCCGCTGGCACGGGGACATCGAGGGGACGCCGGCGACAACTCTGCGGCCACCAGAGGCCACCAGAGGTCACCAGAGGCCACCAGAGGCCACCATGGGCCAGCAGGCGGCGACCCCCGGCCCGCCGGGAGCAGAGGTGAGACCCCCGCCACGTCCCCCGGTGTCCCCGCGCTGTCCCCACTGTCCCCACATGTCCCTCGATGTCCCCCTCATTGTCCCCCTCCATGTCCCCTGATGTCCCCGCGCTGTCCCCACTGTCCCCACATGCCCCTCGATGTCCCTCGATGTCCCTCCATGTCCCCCAATGTCCCGCGCTGTCCCCCCTCGCTCTCCGCTGTCCCCACTGTCCCTCAATGTCCCCTCTGATGTCCCTCCCTGCTGATTGATGTCCCCACTGATGTCCCTCATTGTCCCGTTAATGTCCCTCTGTCCCCGCTGTCCCCACTGATGTCCCCCTTGCTGCTGTCCCCTCTGTCCCCTCTGTCCCCTCTGTCCCCTCTGCTGTCCCCAGGAGTGCTCCCCCCCTCTCTGATTGATGTCCCCTCTTGTCCCCATCGCTGTCCCCTCTGTCCCCATCGCTGTCCCCAGGAGCGCTCCGCCCCCTCTGATTGATGTCCCCTCTGTCCCCGCTCAGTCCCCCATCGATGTCCCCTCTGTCCCCATCGCTGTCCCCTCTGTCCCCATCGCTGTCCCCAGGAGCGCTCCGCCCAGGCCACCGTTGTCGCGTGGCGCCAGTACCGCCAGGCGTGCGAGCTGCACCTGCGCCTGGCCCCGCCCCCGCCAGGTGAGACCCCGCCCACGCCCCGGGGACACCCCGGGGACACCTCGGGGACACCTCGGGGACACCTCGGGGACACCTCGGCGACATCCGTGTCCCCTCAGGACCCGTCTGCAACCGCAGCTTCGACCTGTACGCGTGCTGGGGCGACGCTGTCCCCAACAGCACGGCCACTGTCCCCTGCCCCTGGTACCTGCCCTGGTACCACCGAGGTAACGCCGGGTGGGGACAGCGAGGAGGGGACAGCGAGGAGGGGACAGCGAGGAGGGGACAGCGAGGAGGGGACAGCGAGGTGACAGCCGTGTCGCAGTGCAGGGCGGGGTGGTGGCGCGGCGCTGCGGCCCCGACGGGCGCTGGGTGACAGACGACAGTGGCAGGACCTGGCAGGACAACTCGCAGTGCGAGGACCTGGCGCAGGTGACAGCGCTGGAGGTGGGGACGGGGAGGGGACAGGGAGGGGATGGGGTGGGGACAGGGAGGGGACAATGAGGGGGCAATGAGGGGACAGAGAGGGGACAGGGAGGGGACAGGGTGGGGACAGGGAGGGGGACAGGGAGGGGACAGGGAGGGACGGGGTGGGGGCAATGAGGGGACAGGGAGGGGACGGGACAGGGAGGGGGCAAGGAGGGGACAGGGACAGGGAAGGGACAGAGAGGGGACAGGACAGGGAGGGGACAAGGAGGGGACGGGGAGGGGACAATGAGGGGACAGGGAGGGGACAATGAGGGGACAATGAGGGGACACGGAGGGGACGGGACAAGGAGGGGACAAGGTGGGGACAGGGAGGGGACAGAGAGGGGACAATGAGGGGACAGACGGGACAGGGAGGGGATGGGACAGGGACAGGACAATGAGGGACAGAGAGGGGACAGGGTGGGGACAGAGAGGGGACAGAGAGGGGGCAATGAGGGGACAGAGAGGGGACAGGGAAGGGACACGGCGGGGACAGGGCGGGCGTCGCGGCGCTGCGGGTGACAGCGGGGTCACAGCGCGGTGACACCGCGGGTGCCACCCCGCGGGGCGGTGCCACGTGCCCGTGCCCGTGTCGCGCTCCGTGTCGCCGGGCGTGTCACGCTGTGTGTGTCACGCTCTGTGTGTGTCACGCTGTGTGTGTCGCACCGCGCTCCGTGTGACACCGGGTGGCGCCCGGCGCCGCGCTGTGCTGGCACATTGTCACCCCCGTGTCACCCCCGTGTCACCCCCCGTGGTCACCCCCCGTGTCACCCCCCGTGTCACACCCGGTGCCACGCTGTGCTGGCACATGTGTCACCGCTGTGCCCCGTGCCCCCGTGTCCCCTGTGCCATGGCGCGTCCCCTGCCGTGTCCCCTCTGCCGTGTCCTGTGTCCCTCTGTCCCTGTGTCCCCATGTCCCCCGCCGTGTCCCATGTCCTTTTGTCCCCTGTCGCCCCTGTCCCCCTGTCCCGTGTCCCCTTGTCCCCATTTCCCCGTGTCCCCTGTGCTGTGTCCCTGTGTCCCCCTGTGTCCCTCTGTGCCATGGTGTGTCCCCTGTCCCCCTGTCCTCATTTCCCCGTGTCCCCTGTCCCCCTGTCCCCCCGCCCGGTGTCCCCGTGTCCCCTGTGCCATGTCCTGTGTGCCCTTGTCCCCCTGTCCCCCTGCCCCGTGTCCCCTGTTCCATGTCCTCTGTCCCCCTGTCCCCCGTGTCCCCTGTCCCCTGTCCCCCCCGCCCGGTGTCCCCGTGTCCCCTGTGCCGTGTCCTGTGTCCCTCTGTCCCGGTGTCCCCGTGTCCCCGCAGCGCCAGGTGTGGCTGCTGGAGCAGTTCCGCCTCCTCTACACCGTGGGCTACTCCCTGTCCCTGGTGTCGCTGCTCGCTGGCGCTGCTGCTGCTGCTGCTGCTCAGGTGGGGACGCACCTGGGGACACCTGGGGACACCTGTGGGGTGTGTCACACCTGGGGACACTGTCACACCTGGGGACACTGTCACACTGTCACACCTGGGGACACCTGTGGGGTGTGTCACACCTGGGGACACTGTCCACACCTGGGGACACCTGGGGACACTGTCACACCTGGGGGACACTGTCACACTGTCACACCTGGGGGCTACTCCCTGTCCCTGGTGGCGCTGCTGCTGGCGCTGCTGCTGCTGCTGCTCAGGTGGGGATGCACCTGGGGACACCTGGGGACACCTGTGGGGTGTGTCACACCTGGGGACACTGTCACACCTGGGGACACTGTCACACCTGGGGACACCTGGGGACACTGTCACACTGTCACACCTGGGGGGTACTCCCTGTCCCTGGTGTCGCTGCTGCTGGCGCTGCTGCTGCTGCTGCTGCTCAGGTGGGGACGCACCTGGGGACACCTGGGGACACCTGTGGGGTGTGTCACACCTGGGGACACTGTCACACCTGGGGACATTGTCACACTGTCACACCTGGGGGCTACTCCCTGTCCCTGGTGGCGCTGCTGCTGGCGCTGCTGCTGCTGCTGCTGCTCAGGTGGGGACGCACCTGGGGACACCTGGAGACACACCTGGGGACACCTGGGGACACTGTCACACTGTCACACCTGGGGGTTACTCACTGTCCCTGGTGTCACTGCTGCTGCTCAGGTGGGGACACACCTGGGGACACACCTGGGCACATCAGCACACCTGGGGAGTGTCCCCCGTGTCACCCAGGCGTGTCCCTGTGTCCCCTAACCCTGACCCTGATCCACGCCGTGTCACCCATGGGTGTCCCTGTGTCCCCCTGTCCCCGTGTCCCCCAGAGATGTCCCCAATGTCCCCAGGCGCCTGCGCTGCACGCGGAACCTGATCCACGCCGTGTCACCCATGGGTGTCCCGGTGTCACCCATGGTGGTGTCACCCATGGTGGTGTCCCCAATGTCCCCAGGCGCCTGCGCTGCACGCGGAACCTGATCCATGCCGTGTCCCCGTGTCACCCATGGGTGTCCCTGTGTCACCCATGGGTGTCCCCCATGTCCCCTGTGTCCCCAGGCGCCTGCGCTGCACGCGGAACCTGATCCACGCCAACCTCTTTGTGTCCTTCGCGCTCCGCGCCGCCGCCATCCTGACCCGGGACGCGCTGCTGCCGCACCAGGGCCACCGCCAGGGCCACCAGCAGGGCCACCAGCCCGGCCACCCCCTGCAGCTGCTGGGACAGCAAGTGAGGACAGCTGGGGACAGCTGGGGACAGTGCAGGGACAGGCAGGGGGACAGCAAAGGGACAGGGGGACACCGTGGGGACAGCTGGGGACAGCTGGGGACATGGGGGGACAGCTGGGGACAGCCAAGGGACAGACAGGGGACACGTGGGGACAGCGTGGGGACACCACAGGGGACAGCTGGGGACAGACAGGGGACAGACAGGGGACAGCCAAGGGACAGGGGGACACGGGGGGGACACCACAGGGACAGCGCGGGGACAGCAGTGTCCGGGAGGGGACACAGAGATGGCCGGGAGGGGACAGAGGGGACACAGAGGTGGCCGGGAGGGGGACACAGAAGGGTCGGTGTTGAGC